AAGACTTTTCAAAATGGTAGAAGTAAACATTCAAATATGTGAATGGGTCTAGTTCTTCTTTAAGTCCTGACATGTACTTGTTTACTGAGATGAATTTTGCCATCTTTTCTATCGGATAAAAAAATATTTTTTTTAAAATTTACTCATAAAAATTTTTCTTTGTATATACACCATTCTGTACGTCTAAAAGACTTTTGACATTTGCCAAGAATGTTCGTTTAGACGCTGTCATATAACCATATTCTTGACAATATTGTTTATACGAATCGTACAATGACCTTTCATCTAAACACTCAAAGTCAGTTTCATCTATGAACAGTTCATATACACTCTTGTTTGCTTCTAACAATGTTTGTCTCTCTTCGGTATGTGGAATTTGTCTTGGATTGAACTTTGAAATATCTAATGTCATAAAATATGAGAACAAGTGGTTGTAAAAGTCAGATGTCAAAGTTTCTGCTAAGTCGTCAAAATATTCTGTATCTTGCATATGAGAATCTGACGTTCTGACAACTACATATCTTCTGTCAGAACTTTCTAACTTCATCGGAACAGCATTGTTTGAAACCATAATGAAGTTTGCAACATTTTCACAAACTCTTTGGTCTTTATATTTTCTTTCAACAACTCCAACTTTGTCTGTTATAAGACTCTTCAAAGCATCTGAGTTCAAAACTTTTGTTGTATCTATACTTTGAAGTTCGTTACATACTATAAGTTTCATATTCTCTATTGAGGAGTTAAACTTGCCACAGATGTTTTCTAAGTTTGTCATATTCGGGTTCGAATAGCCCTCTAACAGTTTGCACAAAATATCTGTAAAGAATGTGTTCTTACCAGTTCCTTGTTTTCCAATTATAATGAGAGCAGTTTCATTTTTAGCACTTGGATGTTGTAAGATGTTTGCAAACCAACATAAGATATACTCATAGACTCTTTCGTTTCCATTGCATATAATTTCTTTGACATGGTCTAACCAAGCTTCTATAATATTTTCTTTCCATTCTACTTGTTCATATTTATATCCAGTGAAGATAGAATAGAAGTTTGGAGAAGGTGTATAGAACTTTATACCACGAACTGAAAAATCTTCTAACTTTGACAATAAGATATCCCAAGCATCTAACATCTTCATGCCAACTTGTACGACTTTTATTTTCTTAAGTTTCTGTCTACATTCTTGTTCTGAAACTATTGTCGCTTTAGGTTTGTTAAAGACTACATCCCATTCTTTCATAACATAACATTCTGGGGCAGAGTCGACATAAATGACTAAACGTTTCAAATTCTCGACTGCTTTGTTATAGTCTCGAAATGGACACATATTTCTGAATGCTTGGAAGTCATAAAAATCTGAAACATCTATTCTGTACATTTTTATAAAAATAAAAAAAATATTTTTTTTATTCTTGACTTTGTTGTTGCATTTGTTGCATTTGTTGTTCTTGAGCTATTTGTTGTTGAAGTTGTTCTTGTAATACAATACTTTCACCAGTTGCATCTTCCAATTCGAAACTTTCTGCCGTCATTGACAAATACATAGGACATAAAAGTTTTACAGGAACAAAGTTTGCGTCAACTAATGTCAACGTTATACTTGCCAAAGTGTTTGAGTTCACTAAGGTTGAAAATTCTGCATTCGAATGAACAATAGGCAAACCAGCAGAGAAAGTATTGTTTATACGCATAAGTATCTTTTGGTCATAATAGTTTCTGTCGACATTCGAATAACACTTTGAACCTAAGTTTGAAACAATATATAAGATTGGTGTGCTTAATGTCAATGGAATAGACATTCCTTGTATGACACCTTTTCCTGTTATAGGAAACTGTTGGTAGTAAAAACCAGAAATAAGTTTTGTATTATAGCTCATATCGTTTATAGTAAACTCAGTCGGACATCCAAACATAATGAAACCTGCTCTAGTTGCAGCACATGTTACACCCGTCCTTAAAGTATTAAATAAGTCAACAAAACCTGTTGGTGGTATATCTGAGTAAGTATCTTCAAAGGAGTATTTTTTACCATTCACAACAATAAAGTCTTCTGGTGTCAAAAGAGCAAAACAGGCTTTAGTCGTCATTGTGTTTAAGGTTAGTTTACAATATCGTCCTTGAGGACTTTGTAAGTTTGTTGTTATAGAATTATATGACTCAGGGTTTTTAGTCGTAATAGTATAAACCATTATATCTTCTGCCATTTATATATATTTAAAAGTTTTTCTGAAAGTGGAGAAGAACTTCATCTAAACTTTCACATGGCGTTTCTTGAAGTTCTCTGTCTAAGAAGTTCAAATATTTTGTAAAGACATAGAACTTTCCTTTGTCTACACGAACAAACAAAACAGGGTCTTTCATATCGTTCAAAAGTGTGTAAAGTCCTTTACATGAAATAAAGTCTATATTATTTTTCTTCAAACATCTTTCAAGAAGTTTTGACATTTTTACTTAGCAAATAAATTTTAATGAAATGTTGTGGTCGTCAAATATTTTTATGACGTCTGGGAAACTATACTTTAAGTTCAACGTTTCACCTCCTTTCATAACGTATATCTTGTCAATGACATTATATGAAACACCACAGCAACTAATGTCGGGTTCTATTTCTTTGATGTTTATATCGTCTGCCTCTGTCAAAAGTTTCAATAGTTCTTTCAAAACTTCATGAGGTGCAATGACATATGAGTTCACTTTTACAGGGTTGTGTTCGACCAAGTTTAACATTATACCTAAAGCTTGACAAATCTTCTCCTGAGTTTGAAGTTTGTCTTTCAGTTGTTGGTAGTCGTTTCGAATATCTGCAACAGAACTTAAGTCTCTGCTAACTTCAGGATATGTTGGTTGTTCTTTTACAGGAACAATTGTTATACCATCTTCGTCTTCGTATGGTTTCCCCACTTCAACATCTCTGTCTTTGACATTGACAATAACACTTTGACTGTTTGTTTGAGTTGGTGAATTTAACTTCACATCTGCCACCGCCATTAAACCTTTTGAAACACTTACGCTTCTATTTTTCGGAAATGACATTTTACTTAGAATAAAAAGATGGACGTATTCGAGTATCTCTTCGAATTGAAGCAGAACAAAGTTTACACACACAAACAATACAAATACATTGACAGAATAGTTCTTTATACAAACAATGGTAAATGTTATAGAATAGCAGTATTTGCTGAACCAAATATTTTCATAAAGCAAAGAAAGTTGGTATAACTGAAATGGTGAAAGTTCTTGAAGCAGACAAAAATATAACTTCAAAACTTACAGATATTTCTAAAGGTAAGTTTATCTTACAATATTATGTCAAAACTGGCGTACTGTCAATATTTGACGGAGAGAAGTCAGTTCAAGAACAACTTACTGACCTGCTGCCAAAATCTGCTCGATGGAAGCTGTCGTTATGCCAATCTGAGGAGCCCCAGCAGGTTTCATCGAACGAATCTTCAAAAGAGCATCTTCCGTGAAAAGTGCTATTGGTTTTGTAAACTTCTTTGCTCTCAGTTCATCTGGACCGTCTCTGTCACCAGTATATTGTATTTGTACAGTACCAACAGTTGAAATACCACCCATAAAGTCTTCTGAGTCAGCAAATGGAATGCCAAGCCAAAAGTTTGAACGGTCTCCATTTGTATATTGAGTTTTTTGACCTCCTGTATGAGTCCATACTTTCACATATGGCATAATAGAACTTTGCATTTCAGGGTTAATGGTTGTTGTGAAGTTGTTGTTAAAGTTCATAGCATCTAATGTCAAGTTGTATGACCTCATATCCTCAACTGTAGAATATTCTTCTCTTGGATAATATTTGCCATCTATGTTTATATGATATTTAATACCGGGGTTGTAGAAACAAGAATAGTCATTTATAGTTCGTCTGAACAGTACAAACATAGTATCTGCATGTTTCATTGCAGTTGTTAAAGCAATATCTGTTCTTGCACCTGGGTCAGCACTTTGGTTTCCAACTTCACCTGCAAAGTCTTTGACAGATATTTGGTGTATAGGGAACATAAGTGGAACTGCAATATATTTGGCAGCTAAAGCATTTGAAATATCTGGGTCCAACATATAGACTGCAAGTCTGCTTTCTATTCTCTTGCATTCAAATTTTTCGCATGTGAACTTAACTGGGTCCCAAGCAGTTCCAGCAGCATTGAAATAATAGTTTACTTCATTGTTGAAGTTTGAGAAACCAAAGTCTAAGTCAACTTTGTCTTTGCAAAATTCGGCGAATGACGTTTGATTTGTTCCCTTTACGTCTGTAATAGTGAATGGGTCTTGTGTTGGTGCAATGACTAAGTTATTTTTGCTTGGAGTAAGTTCGATAGAAATTTTTCCTGCCCAGTTTGGCAAGTATCTTAAAAACCTGAAGATGAGGAAAGATGACAAAGGAACTCTAAGTTTCAGTTTTACTTTGGTTACTGCTGCTGCAGTTTGTCCAGAAAGGTTAACATAAACTCCTGGAACGTTAGGGTCAAGTCTTCTTATTTTCTCAATATTTGCATACTGGTCTGTTTGTTCTCTAGCTTGTGGTTGTACTGAGTTTCTCAAAGCGAACCATTCATAGTTTGCCCATGTTACTGTTTGAACTAAGTCAGAGTTAGAATATATCTTATATCCCATGAAAACTTCTGGAGCATATTGGTATCCGACATAGAAAATTCCATTGCAACCTTTCTTGTCAGACAACTTGGCAGAAGGTTTTATTTCAATGTCTTGTTCCACGTATAAGAATGAGTTGTCAATAGAAATAATATGAAACCTGTCGCAAGCAATATCTACTGTTGTTGAAGAACCTTCTCCAAACTCACCTACGTTTCCATAAGAAACAGCAGTTGTATATTCGTAAGTTCCAGGAACTATTTCTGACCTTCTAATGGCATTGTCGCATTCGTTATACCATTCGGAAACATTTCCGTTCATGGCATCCAAAACTGTTGGCGTTATATTCTGAGCGGCGTACATTTCATATGGGTAAAAATATAGAATAGTTGGATTTATGTGTCATAATAGAACCCACTCGGACCAAGCTTTACTTTCTTCCTGACTGAGTTTTTAACTCTTCTTTTTCCTTCATTGCCACTACTTTCACTAGATGAAGTTACTTCTTCACTACTTTCACTTTGTTCTACTCTTCTCTTCTTCTTTGGTGTCGCTTTTGGTAACTTGCCCTCTGCTTCAAGTTGTTGCATCTTTGCCTCATGTTCACCTAGTATGTTGTAAATTTCCCATGTCCTTTTTGCCTTTGGGCTCTGGTCGCCCATCTCAGGTAACCTATATCCTAGAAAGATTTTGTCATAGTTTGTATTTGAGTCTTCGCGTATTGTTTGCATGACTCTTTCCTGAGTTTCCGGTTCAAGCTCTTCAAACAGAGCTTGTCCATATGGAATAAGCTCGTTTCCAAATATATGTTTTTGTAGCCATTCTGGTTTTCTTTCCATGTTACCAATAATATCTTTTGTGAATGGGAAAGCTTTTACCCAATGTTTCAGTCTTGCGTCATTTATTTCTGTAGTTGGTTTTATTTTGTCAAGGAACATGTTTTTCAATACTAACATTTCATTTGGTACTGTCCATTTGAGTTTTCTTAAATATTCATCCCTTCTCAGTTCATTGTCTGCAAAGTAAGTTTTTATGACATTTTGTAAACTTTCGTTTGCAAGGTCATGTACAATAGGTTCTCTTCCTTCTATCTCCCTAACTTTCTTTCTAAACTCTTCACCAAATATACCATCTCTATGGTTCTGTGTAGTTCTTTGAGATAAATGTTCTAGAACGTCAGGTGTTATATTTCCATCAGCCATGTTCATTTCATACTGGTCCAAAATATCTGCATGTTTCATATCTTTCAATGGCATTAAAGCCGCGCTGAAAATACCAGCTATATCTGGTTCACCATTCACTTCCATTGCGTCTACAACTTCTTGGAATTGTGGTTGTAAGTTTATGAACCACCTATCCGGATTAGCTTTATGACCCCATCTCATTGTAGTTCCATAGTCTGCAGAAACAAAAGTAGGTTTGTTTCCATATTGGTTAGGTTCTGAATGAACTTTAAACAATGTTTCATTTCTATATGTTTTGTTGAAATTTAACCTTTTATTTTCACCGAGTTCAGCCAAAGATTGAACGTTATATGGTCGTAAGTAAAAAGGATTGTTGTATTTGCGTACATTTTTTCAGTACTTCCATTCTATGCTGAATATTTTCATCTGATGTTGGAGTCTTTTGTATGTCGGCGAACATTTTTCGATATTCTTCTACTATGTCAGCCGAATTTTTCTTAGACTCTTGGAAAGATTCCATATTCTCCGCATACTCTTGTTGAGGGTCAAGATTTTTCGGCTGTTCCAAATCTTCATCTAGTTCTGTGAAGTTAGTTTCCAAAGGAGGGACTTGTTCGTTTCCTTCAGGCTCTTCTAGCTGTTGTTGCTGAACTATTTCTTCCATGTCTGGTTGTATCTGAACTTCTTCCTGTGGAGTTTCTTGTACCTCATCTGCTGGCATTTCATATATTCCGAGACCGTTTTTAACAAGTTCCCTATTTAAGTCATCCGCATTCATAACCTTTCTTCTTTCGTTCCGTCTCTATTTTTTACGCGTTTCATGAAGATAGTTGAATTATCATTTATCTCTGACACCAAATATCTCGGAGTAAATTCATCATGTCATTTGGATGATATGCTATTAAATCATATCCCTTAGCGAGCTTGTATTTTCCAGGTTTGAAATTATATCCCATTTGGTGCTGAACCATAAAGCTAAATAGGTTCGGGTCAGTATTTCCTTCCTTGAACTTTCTAATAGCTTCTTTATATCTGTCACTAAAGTCAAGAGTATCTGGGTAACCATAATTTCCTTAAGCATTTTTAAGAATTCTTGGTTTCCTTGTTCTCTACTTCTTTTATGTCCTTGCTCTGTTTGTGGTTGTGTGCTGGTTTTGAACTGTTGGTTGTGGTGCTGGTTTTGAACTGTTGGTTGTGGTGCAGTGTTTTGAACTGTTGGTTGTGGTGCAGTGTTTTGAACTGTTGGTTGTTGTGTTGGTTGTTGTGTTGGTTGTTGTGTTGGTTTTGGTGCATGCCTGTGTCTGTGTCCATGTGACGATGTAAATGTTTTAGGTAGTCCTGGTGCAGGTGCTTCTCTTGGAGGGTTTGGTGGTATATAAGTTCCACCAGCTGGCACATATGTTCCATCTGCAGCATAATGTCCTACCTGACTTTTCGTTTTTAAGAAAGCATTTACTAGGTCTGTTTTGGTCTGTTGTAACTCTTTTTCTTGACTTTCCACAACAGTTGCTCTAACGGCGTCATAGGCACTTTGAACTGCCTGTCTCGTTGCTGCATCTGTTATTTTCGTCATATTTTGTGCTACTTCTCTTAACTCGTTGTCGAAACCTTCAGACTTCAGTTTCTTTCCAGATGAGAAGTCGTTCACTAGTTTCACCTTACTATGAAGAGCTTCGAAGGCGTTCTTAAAGTCAGCATTCATTAAAGCTTCATTTGAACTGTCTTCATCCGCTTGTATTTTTGTCCTTATTGACCCTATAAGTTGGGCTGCTTTGCGTTGGCTTGGGCATCTAACCAGTCATTATTAGCTTTTATATATTCTGCGCTTTTCATTGCCTTTTGCATGGCTGCGTCGTTATTTTTACTTTCTTGTGCTAAGTTTTCATACTGTACGGTTTGGTTTTGCAACTGTAAAAGTTTTTCTGCCTTTACATTTGCTTCAACTTCTTTTTTATACTCATCGCTATCCATATATGTCTTCAGGGCTTTTTGTTTTATTCTTCATCTTTCAGTACTTTATATTGAGTAGTATGGTTTTTCAAATTTATAACATCTTGTTCCATTTTTGCTACTTCTGCTGCTTTTTCTGACACTTTTTTCGCATATTCCTCTGTACTTAGTTCTTTCAGTTGTTCTTCTTTCTTCTTTTTCTCTACGTTTAACTCATTGAGTTTCTTTGTGTGTCTGTCATATTCTAGTTTCTTTTCGTTTTCACTTATTTGTTTCTGTATGTCTATGTTTGACTTTTTGACATCTGTTATTTGATTTTTGAGTGAACTCAAATTCATTTGACTTTGAGGGTTATAAGCTGTTCCGTCTGCAGCTCCACCATAGCCTGCCATTTTCGCTAAAAGTGCCGCTCTTAAACCTCCACTCTGTGCACCAATAACTCGGTTTAAAAGCATAGGGTTGCTTGACATTTGTTGCAACATAGTGGGGTCATTCATCATTTGTTGTTGCAACTGTTGTTGTGGTGTCAGTTTTACTATTGGATGTTTCAATGCTCCCTTCCTCTTACGTATATTCTTACGTAGCTTACGTGGCATTTTAAGTGAAGTTAAAAAGCGGTTTTTGACAGATGTTTATATGACACTTTTTGTTCAGCACAAAAAACTACTCGGTCAAAGTGTTGTCAGTTTTGTAAAATAACCGTCCTATCTCATTCTATAAGGGGAAAAGGCTTCTCAAAGTATACTTCCTTGGAACGCCTGTAACTTTTCCTGTAGCGACGATAGACCCTTACTTGTCCGGACAAAGTTATACTATTTTGAGTGCTCTACAAAAAAGTCAACGGCGACGACTCTCAAAAACCGTTGTGTAAAAAGTTTTACCGTTGGACAAAAAAGTATATATAGAAAACAAAAAACGTTTATAGTTCATTCAATATTTGAGATGGAACGGTTTGCCAACGGTAACTATTAAATAAAATAAAAAAATAGAGGGGGTCTCCGTTGGTAAAAACCGTTTATTTTAAACTTTTCTATGAGTAGTCCGAAAAAAACAGTTTATTTTTCATAATGGAAGGAAGAAAAAGTGTCGCAAACAATTCGTCGACTACCTCTGCAGTTAAAGTTCCTACAACTTATGTCTCACCATTCTCAAAACCCTTACGACCTCCTATAATACCAAAGCAACTTCCTCATACAATTCAAGACAATTTGTCCAACAATTTGAGTTCTTCTTCTCAAAACACAACAGATACAGTTGTCCAAACAGCACCAGAACAAGTTTCACATAGTTCTACAATTCAAGACAAATTGTCCAACAATTTGAGTTCTTCTTCTTCTCAAAACACAACAGAAACATCTGAAACAGATTTACAACCAGCACCAGAACAAGTTTCACATAGTTCTACAAGTATGTTAACAAGAGCACAATTTCAAGATTTAATTTCTCTTGAACAATATTCGAGTAACGAAACACAAACCGACGACTGTAACCTCTCGCTACCCGAATCCATTCAAAGAAAATACGCCATGAAAAGACTGAAATTGTTGTATAAACTTCTTAACAATTGGGGGGTCGAAGACAACACAGATTATAGTGAAATGTTTAACAAAGTCATAGAATCTCTTAAACCAATTGAAAACGACATAAAAAATCCCGGTGTTCTTGTAGACCTTTTCGCCTCAAAATTACCAGTTACAACTAATCTAATAGCAACACAAGCTATAGAGCAATTTATTTTATGTTTTCCCAAGCAATATAGACAACACCTGAGGGAAACAAGAATAGGAAAATTTCAATTGGTGTATCCTACAACATACAACTATTACGAAGAAGCAAATGAATATGGAGAACTCTCGTTCCATTTCACACTTTCAGTTCCTGAGGGAGAAGAAAAAGCAATCTATCATGTACAATCTCTTGCAGGATGTGAAGGAAAACCTCACATAATAACTACTGTTGCAATTGACAAACCTGCAAGAGTCGAAGACGATGTTTTGTTCGCGTCCATTGCTGGTTTTGGCATGGGAGAACCAATTCCAATTTCCCATTTCACAGAATACTCAGCACAACATTTTCAAAATGTAGAATTCGTGTTCTACGACCATCAAAAGTTCCTGCTAACAAAACCAAAGAAACAATTTGTCTCAATATTTGTTGCTGGTCATGTGGCTGACAAAGAGCCATCAGATACTGACTATGAAGAAGAGGAGGAGGAAGAAGAAAACGATAGCGATGTCGTTCTTATCGAATAAAAACTTTAATTTCTTACTATATAATTTTTTAGTTCTCCTCTAGGTTTTTTAGGGGCTAGAAGGGGCGCAGCCCCTGGAAGCCCCACTACCTTTTTTTTTTTTTTCAATCTTTGATTGAATTACCTATTTTATCCTGGAATTTGCGTATTGAGAATAGAAATAAGGGTGTTGTTAAGATATCATAGTTAAATAATTCGAATTATTCATACAATCTACATGATTAGCTAGATATTTCTGAAATTAATGAAAGAAAAGATTCAATTCTTCGAATTTTGCGGAAAAGAAAGTTTAATGATTGTAAAAATATTTTCATTTGATCATGTAGAATATATTAAAATTCATTGTGGTCTAATATTTCAAATCTCGCACCTGTAACCACAACTTTACAAAAGCGGATAAACTTTGATGTAAGGAAATTTTTGAATAGGTTATCGATTCTTTTTCCGGCACATAGAATACGAAACAAGATACACTGAACAAACATCATGTTGTAGTTTTTTGAAAATGAAAATAAGATTCACACAAAAATTTTCCAAAATTAATTCTTAAATTTTAAGTTAAAATTTAAATATAGTTGAATTCAACATTTATATTTTCAGAAAAATTAATTTTCAATGTATCCGTTTCAGAAATCTTTCATGCAGTTTTTAGGGATATTTCAATTAAGATGGAGAGCAATCGCTGTATATACGATGATCTCTATAGTTTTGTTGCATACGTATCTCAGCTTATCAAGAACTTCTCTATTTTTAACACGTTCATTTACAATTTATACCAAGAAAGGTTACCAAATCACTGAACAGTATGATTCAAATTTTTTAATAGGCAATAATATTGTTATCGAATCTACAGAATTTAAATATCTTCAAAATTCAGCAATTATCTACAATGAAAATTCAAGAAATTCAAACATTTCGATTGAAGATTGCAGTTTCATCGAATTCAATACATATGATAATGGCAATTACGGTAGTGCCATATCTCTAAGTTGTTTTAAAAATGCAATTTTATTCAGAAATTTCGGTTTATCATGTAACTGTAATACAAAGGGTATTTTGCTTTATGCCACAAATTGCGATTCAATACATATAGATAGTTTTTCTGCAATTGATTGCGGTAAAATCAATGGAGAATCTGTGATTTATGATCTTCAAAGTAATTTATACTCAGTGAGCTGGAACATTACTTCTTGTAATAGCCAGAAATGTGCTGCGATTACAGTATTTGACGGAAAATCACAGATTTGCCTTTCATCGTTCAATTGCAATAAAGCAGACTGTATTATTCATTATAATACTGATAAACATGAGGTAAAATCAATATTATTCTCTAAAAACTTTGCAAATTCTGCTTTAATTCTTGCAAATCAAAATTCATCTCTTTATTTATCGAATATATCATTAATTAATAACACAATTATATCTAAAATGCCATTTTATGGTAATATTATTAACAAAACACACTCAGATTTGAGACTTTCTATAATGAATTTGATTGATGAAAAAAAGAAATACATTAAAAGGGTAGCTAACGATCAAACACCATTTCCAACATACAAGAGACGTGAAGGAGTCACAACAACGTACTTATACACATTAGTTGAAACAAAAACCGAATCTATGGTTCTAATTCAAACATTTATGAACTACTCTTATGTAACAATTGTAGAAGGAGGTGGAGAAAAAACAGTTTATGCAACAACTGAAACAGTTGAACTCTCAAAAACTGAATCTTACACAATAATTAACACAACAGTTGCATTTGAGACGTACAAGAAGTGGGATGTACTTAAAATATCATTGCTTGTTGTTGGAGACTTGATTCTTATTGGTTTAATCGCTCTTGCAATTATTTGTTTGATTAGACATAGAAGAAAGCTGAGAACACGTGAAGTTGTTGATATCGGTGATGTACCAAGTGAATCTGATGATATTCCACAAGATTTCAAAGTTAAAATTGACACAGAAACTCATATTATTTTATATGAGAGTCAAGAACAGAATTTCCCTTATAAAACCGATACAGATAACGAAGAAGAATAATGATTCTATTCTCAAAAATGCTCAATGTATCAAAGGAGCAAATCATTTGAAATTATTTCAAAAATATTTATGCGGATACAGCGTTAATTGTTATTTAATAAATATTACATCTGTTTGTATTATATTTTAGAAGTATTTTAACATGAATATTTGATCATATTTTATCATCTTATTCCAATTTATTCAATTTAAGTAAGATAGTATTTAGCTTTGAGATTTGTAGTAATTTTATTTAAGTAATGAAAGAATTTCATCTGAATTTATCCTTCGTAGTAAAATTTGCAAATTTGTGAGTTCTTTTCATTAACTTTCTTGTCTACCTATTAATTCAGCTCTGTAATTTAACATTTCATGATTTCAAACTTTTTTAAGGCTCCTAGTGCATAGAATTTGTATAGTCTCTTAATTTCCTTTTATTTTTTCATGAAGATCTAGTTGTGTAATAGACATGCATAGTGGAGAAACAAAATATTCTCATTAACATCTGAATGGTTCCTGAACCTACAACATTATACAAACAGATTGCGTTCTTAGGAAACATTTATTTCTATAACCAATAAATAATGAAAATAAAACTTCAAATAAATGGAATTACAGATCATATTAGATTTCGGCATTTTAATGGGTAAATAATGAAATATTGAACTATTTTTATAGGATTCATCAAGAAGACCATCAGGGTTTATATAAATAGAATCTTTATCATTTTGGATTTCAACAAATTCCACACGTGGAATACGAATAAAATTAAACCCTTTAATTGTTTTGACAGATGAAAGGAATAATAATGATTTTCAGAGTGTTTGATTTTGATATTCCTCCAACTTCGATCAGTTCTACAGAATTAGGAACGACAAAATATTCCATTCCATTTCCTCCAAAAATTGAATACAGAATTTTCATATCTCTGGAGTAAAGAGCTCCGTTTTTTGAAACAAAAAATTTATTCTCAGGATCTACAGAGATTAATTGTACTGGGAGTCCCTCGTCAAACGGATTTCCTACTAATTTTTTTACATTTTTCGGTATATTAAAAGTAACAATTTGAGTACTGGAAAGCAAAAAATTATCAATAACAATTAATGCATCATCAAATTCTACATTAGCGAGATTTTTATAATTTGATAAACATGCTGATACAGTTGAATTGTAGCCTTGAAAAGAAAGTTTGACAGCTTCCTTGTGCTGAGATAATTTTTCGAGTGGGCCTGAGCCAATTACTCGATAGGCATTTGGTTCACCTTCAATAGGATAAAAAGTCAGATAAAATCTATAAAACCGTTTCACTCAATTTTTTGAAAAGTTTACAACGTTCTTCGATTGCATAATCAAAAGTTTAAAATATATAAAGATAACACATGTCAGACCAAAGAATATCCTTAAAATGAAAATATGAAAAAATATAAATGGTTGTTTAAAATATAACAATTTAAATTTGTTTTTATACTTTGTATTTTCCACCACCACCGAAAGGACAAACAAAATAGAGGATAATGAATAAGATGATTAAGAACAAAGCAGAAGCGCAAAATGCTATCAATCCAATCTCTGCACTTGACAATCCATGGATATGTCTCCATTTATATTCATCAGGAAGAGATTTCTTGCATTTTTCAACTTCATAAACATCATCACTAAACAAAGGATTATTGTAATCATCAGTAACAACTTTCTTTGTTATATCGAATTCACCATCTTGGAAGTATTTTCCTTCATAGCAAATCTTATAAATAGATGTTTCATCGTTTGTTCCTTCAATTATTTTAACAGATGATGGAACTTTTAATATGGAACCTCTGTAATCACTGTCATAAAATGTTTGGTCGAAAGCAACATGCGTTTCTTCAATAAACTTCTCACGTTTGTAGCCTGACCAATCAATTTCTTCAACATTTTCTGGAATGGTAAACAAAAGTGACAATTTACCAACGGTTGTGTAAAATGCATTTGAGAATTTGTTGATTAAAGAGTTCGTTTCAAATTTATAAAGACGACTTTCTGGAGAGAAATTAATCGTCTTAACATTGAACAATTTATTCAACGAATTCTGGGAAATGTCAACCAATGATGATGGCAAATTCAACTTCTCAACAGATGATCCAATGAACCATTTATCATCATCAGAAAATTGAGTAATTCCAATTCCGATTGTCACTTTTTTAAGTTTTGGACAATAAGAGAAAGCTTGGACACCTATTGATACAGTTTTATCTGGAACTATGATTTCTTTCATGTTGCATTTTCTGAATGAATATGAACCGATCAAATAAAGATTGTCACTGAATGAAACAGAATTTAATTTCTCACATCCATCGAAACAATAATCAGGAATCGAATACAAACCACTTAAAACAGCTGTTTTCAAGCCAATACAATTCAAAAAGACTTTATCTCCTAAATTAATGGAATGAGTGATTTCTACTTTCGATAGTTTTTCACAATTTTCAAAACAATTGTCTCCAATAAATTGAATAGTTGTAAAGTCAACAGTTTTGAGAGATTTACAATCTTTGAATAAACTTTCATTCAAATGCTTGAAATTAGAGAGATTGATTGTTGTTATTCCAGCATTTTCGAAGCAATTAGGATACAAACTATTGACAAAAGTCAAATTTACTGTTGACAATTTCTGACAATTGTAAAAAACTTTGCTTTGGAATGTTTGACATTCTTGTGGTAAATTCAATGTTTTGAGTTTCAGACAATTAGTAAAACATTGTTCTCCTAATGCTGCTATTGGCGTTGTAATTGTAACAGTTTGTAAACTGTCAGAATTTGCAAAGAAATTACTTGGCAAAATATCAGTTTCATCTTCAGAAAAAGCAGTTTTTTCGAATCTGATTTTGACTTCTTTTACATAAGGAGATCCATAAAAAGACAATTTATTTAAGTTGATGTCATTTGACACTTCCACGGTTTTAACCTTTTTTGCCAAAGCCAAGAAACCTTTTTGAACTGTAGTAATTTCTTCAGGAATCGTGAAAGATGATGAAGAATATTCAGGAAGCAAACAAATCAATGTATTTCCATTCAAAATCAACAAATTATCATCAGTTATTGAAACATTTCTTGGTTTTAATTCAGTAACAATAGAAATTCCTGATGTTTGAGCGAATGGCAATGCATCGAAATATGCACAATCTTTAGCTAAAGTTATTTTTGTTATTGAGTTTACGCCATAAAAAGAAAATTCTGAAATTGAAACTAAATTTGAAAATAAAAGTGAAGTGATTTTTGTATAAGAAAATGCGTAATCATCAATAGTTTCAACGTATCTTAAACTAACTAAATTATTCAGATTGCAACTAGAGAAACTGTATTTTCTTATTTTTGTCAAATTAGTATTAAATGACACTTTTTGTAAACTTGAACAATTACAAAAAGCGAAGTCAGGAATTTCTGTTACAGGATTTTCGAAAATGATGTCTGTAACCTTTTGGCAGCCTTGGAAACATCCTTGTCCGAAAGAAAATCTCAAATAAAGTTTTTGTAAATTCGAACAACCCAAAAATGAATATTTTCCTAAAACTGACGTATTTGAAATTCTTGGCAAATTTACTTTGGAACAATATGAGAAAGCGTAATCTCCAATGGTTGAAATATTCACAGGAACAGATATTTCTAAACTTTCACAATAAGAAAAACAAGAATTTCCAACTTCCGTCAAATTACTTGTCGAAATCGATTTCAAGGACTTGCAATTGTAAAATACCTTCTCATTTAGTGTTTGTAAGCCTGGTGCTGTGAAAAACTTCAATGAAAAACAACTAGAAAAGCATTCAGAAGGAATTGTATCATAATCATAAGTCAAAACAACAGAAACAAGCTTGGAATTCTTACAGAATGTCTTTGAAGATAATACAAAGTTTGATGGTAAGTCAATTCTTGTAATTAATAAATTTGAAAAAGATTCTGAAGATAATGTAAGGGAATCTGTTCTTTCTTGGAAGTCTATTGATATTATTTGTGAACAGTAAAACGCTCTTTCATCAATTAAAGTGACACCTGGTGAAATTGCAACTTTTTTGATTGATGAATAGGCAAAACTGTATTTTCCGTAAGAAATGATCTTGGAATAGTTAAGATCAGATAATGATGTGCAATCATGGAATGCATATTGGCCAATAACTACATTCTCTTCGTTCAAATTTACATTTTTGAGATTAGTACTGCCGGTAGCGAAGTAATCTGGTATATTAGCAGTGTAAACTGAGAGATCTGTAAGCTTGTTACAGGCCCTAAATGTATAAGATTCGAAAGTTGTAACGTGTTCTAAATTTATTGATTCAATTGAAGAGTGATCAAAGCAATATGATTTGATTGTAGTTACATGTTCGGATAATTCAACTGTTTTAATGTATTTGTTATTTTGGAATAATGATTCTCCAAGAGTTGTTGTCGTCGTAGAATTAACTACTAATTTAGATATAGCCAAATTATCGATTTTATCAACAGTAGTGAATGAAACATCTTCTCCTTGAATGATGAGTGTTTGTATCTGAGATTCAGTGATATTTGAACTGATTGATTGATAATCAGCTAATGTAGTTACTGTTAAAGTAGTTCCATCAATTGTAGCATCACTTTGCAGCTGGATATGCTTAAACAAAAGTGAATATATAAAATAATTAGTTCGAAGCATTTTTGATTTTTTACACTTTTTGGTTTTATCACAAAATAAATCATGGATTTAGATGCCTAAAATGATAATCATATTATTTTTATTAATCTTAATTGAAATTGAATTGAAATGTTTAAGGGTGCACCCGTATGTACGTTTATTTGAGAGGAGGAGGATTACCCTCTCAATTTTGAGGGATTCGTTAGTTTATTTTCTCGATGAATATGCAATAAAATTTGATTTTTACCTTATCAATATACTTCATATAATATACACATGTTCATGTAAAAACTTTTTTCCAAAATGCTCAGGAATTAAGGGATTTTTGAATTTTAAGAATTTTTTTCGAATTTTTTCGAAAAAAAAATATTTTCAGAATAGGGATGCGTTAAACACGCCATTTGACCGGGCGTACATTTTTTTTGTTCGCCCAAAAATTTCGCCATTTGAGAAATTCAAAAATTAAAAATAAAATCTTAATCTTGATTTTTTTATTTTCGTGATTTTTTTGAAACTTACATAAGCGATGAAATACTTTTTTTAAGTAATCGTTTATTATATATAAATATATCTTAATAAATTTAATTCCTTAAGGTAGAGCGTGTTCAAATTTAAAATCTCATACAATATTTTCTTAATGGCGTATTTTTCTGAGGTCGCCCAAATAAAGGCGAATTCAAAATTGAGAACTCCAAGGCGTATGGCGAGTATTCAAAATGTACGCCACTTACAAAATATTGAATGCGGATTATCAATTTTTTGGCGTATTCAATTTCAAATTTTGATATTTATGTTTATTTTATTCAGTATAATGCTAAGAATTAAAATATAAAATTCATAGAATTTTTTCTTTGAAAATATTTTACATTTTTATTAGACCACTCCTCAAACTACTCCTCAAACTCCTCCTCAGATTATCCTCAAACTCCTCAGACTACTCCTCAGATTATCCTCAGACTCCTCCTCAGATTATCCTCAAACTCCTCAGATTATCCTCAGACTCCTCCTCAGATTATCCTCAAACTCCTCAGACTACTCCTCAAACTCCTCAAATTATCCTCAGACAACTTCTGAAACTACTCCTCAGACAACTCCTCAGATTATCCTCAAACTCCTCAGATTATCTTCAAACTCCTCAGACTACTCCTCAAACTCCTCAGATTATCCTCAAACTCCTCAGACTACTCCTCAAACTCCTCCTCAGATTATCATCAAACTCCTTAAACTACTCCTCGGTCTAATCCTCAGACTCCTCCTCAGATTATCCTCAGATTATCACTTTACATATATATATCGATAACTAAATAATTACTTATTATACTTTCTTTATTTTTTTTTAATTTTAAAATAATATTAATATATCTTTCTACGTTTAATGATGAAAAGAGAAAGAGGAGTAAAAAGAGGAAAGAGAAAAGAAAGAGAGAGAGGAGAAAAAAAAGAGAAAGAAAGAAAGAAAAAAAAGGACGGCAATAATTTTGTATTGTTTTGTTATTCGGCCGAATGGCGGGTACGAAGTAGCCGCCATTCGGCCCCAAAAATGGCGTATTATTCTATTTTTAAACGGTCATGGCGTAAAACCGTCGCATCCCTATTTCAGAACAGCCTTAACGGCTAAGATTTAGGAACAATGTTAAGTATCAAAAAGAAAGGAGGTCTGATATAGACAACATATATCGTTGAAGGTTGAAAAAATCTCTAATATTTGAGCCCAAAATTTCAAATTTTAATTTTTTGAAAAAAGAGGCCACCCGTATGTACGTTTATTTGAGAGGAGGAGGATTATATTTTTGAAAGGGTGAAACATTATGAATATGTTAATTATATAATAATATGTATTATTATAAAAAAGAAAAAATAAAGCACGTTAAAATTTTTCTTTCTTGATTTTTTACAAAATCTACTTAGAATTATGCAAAATATGACTAAATAATTATAAATTTCAAGTTAAATTTTAATTTTGATAAATAATTTAAATTTCAAAATATCAAGTTCAGTTCGACTATGTATGTAGTAATTCCTCAATAAAGTGCCAAAACCCTATTAAAATATATGAACATTTTCAACATTTTAATGTTTTTATTTAAAAATTTGATGGAATATGAGCTTCAAACAATTATTATGTAAATAAAAATAATTAAATATATGTATTTATTCGTATTACAACCGTAGTAAGTCGATTCTTCCTTTCTTCTACTGAGTTTTGAATTTGATTTCGAATTGTAAAGAGATTCAAAGGGAAAATACTAGCGGATAAAAACTACCTCCATGAAAGGGTCATAATGGACTCAAGTTGTATTTTTTGATATTTTTTGCTTTTCGAGCCTAAATAGGTAGCCAAGATAATGCCTAAAAATAAGGTTCTAAATTCTGAAGTTTACATGATCCTCTCGTGTGCACCCTTAACGTATGCGTTTTAAAATAAATTATTGTGTTTATGCTATATAATAATATTCTATAAAAAAAAAAAAAAAAAAAGGTAGTGGGGCTTCCAGGCACTTCGTGCCTTCTAGCCCTGAAGATGTTTAGTATAAATGAAGTTCTTATATATACGGGTCTTCCAGGAGCTTTTCACAAATTATATATGTTTTCATGTTTTGTCAAACATGAACGTACATGTTTTGTCAAGACTTCTTCTTCGTAAATGTTTTGTCAAGACTTCTTCGTAAATGTTTTGTCAAACATGAACGTAAATGTTTTGTCAAGACTTCATCGTAATGAGTGTAAAGGACCCAAAAATAATGTTTAGGTGAAGAGGTGAGATCTCACCCGTTTTTTCACCTGTTTTCTCACCCTCTTGAATTTTCATGATTTCATCGTAAATGTTTTGTCAAGACTTCTTCTTCGTAATGAGTGTAAAGGACCCAAAAATATAATTTAGGGTAGAAGGTTAGATCTAACCTCTTTTCTAACCTCTTTTCTACCCTCTTGAATTTTCATGATTTCTTCGTAAATGTTTTGTCACTTTTCTGTCACTTTTCAGGGAAAAACATTTTTATTATTATATATAAATGAATTTTACAAAACCACCGTTACCGTTCTTTGGAAATAAGAGTAGATGTAAAGATATTATATTGAGAGAACTTAAGAAACTACCGAATGGTCTAACATTTGTAGATTTGTTCGGTGGAAGTTTCTATATATCCCATTTGTGCCATATAATATTCCCAGACTCAAAGATTATATGCAATGACTTCGACAACTATATGGACCGTCTCAAACATATACCAGACACAAACAATATATTGAAAGAGTTAAAAGAAAAGATACCTATAGGTAAGATGGAACGTATACCATTAGATAACAAAAATATTGTGAGAGAGGTTTTGAAAAAAGCAGAATATATAGACTGGGATAGTATATCTGCTAGACTATTATATAGTGGTTCTATAAGAGTTCATGACATTGAAACACTTATGTCAAAAGTTTTATATCTTAACTATACAAATGTTTTCAAAGAGGACATAGAAAAATATATTGAGGGTATAGAGTTTGTGAGATGTCATTGGACAGAGTTGTATGAAAAATATAAAGACAAGGAAAATGTTTTCTTTATAGTGGACCCGCCGTTCTATAACACATGGATTTCAATACCAAGTAGACTGGACTTTGAGAGACTCTTTAGAAACTTTAGACGTTATACATAACCATCCATGCTTTTACTTTACATCCGATAAAAGTGGTTGGAAACCGTTATGAGATGGTTTAGAGGACATACATGACTATGAGTTTATATATGACAAGATAGAATATGAGAGAGGTCCTATAAACTGGAGAAAGTGTCACAATAAAGAAATTTTATTAGTAAGTAAATGTGGTTGAAATAGGACTACTTGTTTAGGTTTTTTCCATTGTGTTCATTTATTTCTTTGACGTGGCAGAAAAGTACAGAGAATATGAAGATGAACCAATGCCTGCAAATGTTCAGCATATGTACTCGTAAGAGATATTTTTATCTAATATTAAATGGACGCACGAACTTAGCGAATGCACAGCAACCTGGACAACCAAACCCAGAGAATATTCCAAATGAAGTTAGAATACAAACTGCAATGGCAAACTATGGTCAAGTGCCAACAGATGTACAAATGCAAACTGCCATGTCAAATGACGCTGCGTTAGGTTTGCCACCATGGTATGCAAATATGAGATGGAAAGAGTTTTATACAAACTGAAGTGGGATATAAACAACTTTATGCAGATGACGCGAACACAGGAGTTGACCCAGAATATGTTTTCTACCAGAGGAGAAACAGAATGTATGAGCTCCAGTTAAAGAATGCTATGGAACTCAACAGGAAACGTAAGAGACTAGGCGGACATTAGATTTTTACATATAGTAAAATGGGTTTCTTCAGTAGTATTGGAAACTTCTTCAGAAGAGTTGGAAGAGGTATATGGAATGGAATAAATCTGTCGGAAAAGGAATTTGGAACGGTGTCAAAAATATTGGTAAAAGAGTAGGTCAGTTCGTTGGTATTATACCTAAAGACCCTGAACCAGAAGAACAAGCTCCTGTTATACAACAACCTGAACCTGCACCACAGTCTAGTGGCAACCAAATCCACAACCTCAACCGTATTAAAAATTATATTTTTACCGTTCGATAGTAAGTTGTATATGAAACTAAGTTCTAAGTAAAACGCATGGTATAATGGAATTATTCTTTTTCTTCCATCTGTAGTAAACCATACTTGAAAGTCTGAAATACTTCCACTTGGTGCGTTCGTATAACTTTGTAGGTTTTTCGTAAAAGTCATTTGCCAAGCATAAGAAAGAGTTTTGGGCGCCAGAAAATGAAGCATGAACAATAATAGCAGCTGGTCGAAAACATCTTTAAATAAATATGGTTCATCTCTTGCATATCGACTGTAAATATTTGCTAAAGGAAGTTCGACTTTCTGATTTAACATTCTTTGCAAATAATACCATGACATTGCAGTGAATTCTGTATATATTTGTTCGTCTTTCTTTGGATTGTCTTCGTAGATTTGAAATGACACTTGTGAATTTTGTTTGTCATATACAATTCTCACATAAAGTGTGCTCTCGGTATTGCATATTCATCAGCATATTTTGCATAACATGAATTTATTTTATCTTCTATATTTTTTAACGCAGTCTGTAGAGAAGATGAAAGGTCAACTTGTATTAGCTCAATTTCTTCCCACATTTTTCGTTTCCCTTCAGATATATAATCTATATGAAACCTTACAATAAATGGAAAACTTTTATCTTCTACAGACACAAACTTCATTCTACGAAAGCCAATAGCTTTTGTGACAGATGGGTCTCTTAGCCATCTTAATGGGTAGTCAAAACGATAGCTTCATGCTTTACGGTCTCTGTCTCAAACTTTTGACCGACATTAGTAAAAAGTTCATCTAATGGTTTAGTTGTAGCAACTCTTGAATTTCTTTTTCTATTGGAAGCATATTTTATCTAGAATAAAAATGTCAAATGAAACAGCGTCTATGAGAGAAATACAACACAACCGACAACTCATTATACAAGCTCTAAATAAGAACACAACAAACTTTTTCAAACTATTCTAAGATATCTGAGTCATTGAAAGAAGGAAACTTAAAACTGACATTAAACCCAATGACAGATGAGTTTCTGTTTCAAGACAATAAGAACCATACTGTCTGTATAAATCCAACAAAAGGAACTTTAAACGAGAAACCTATAAATGAACTTCTTTTGAAAGCAGTATTGACAACAAAGCTGACAAAGAATATGTCATTGAAAAAGTTCAAGAAGAACATGACAGAGCAGATGCAACATATGCAACGAAAAGAACATACTCATCCTGAACTAGCAGACAAAACATATGTTGACAATAAAATGTCAAGTGAAGTGACAAGAGCTGAAAACGAATATTCTAAAAAGACTCATACACATTCTATATCTGAAATAACAGACTTACAAGAAACCTTAAACAGTAAAAGTGCCGTTGGACATACACATACCATTGCAAATATTACAAACTTACAGAAACCTTAAACAGTAAAAGTGACGTTGGACATACACATACCATTGCAAATATTAAAAACTTACAAGAAACCTTAAACAGGAAAAGTGACGTTGGACATACACATACATCTTCTGAAATAACAGATTTAAACGTTAGCCTTGAAAAGAAAGCAGATAAAACATATGTCAATGAAATATACCAAAGTTTGATAGGAACAACGAAAATATTGAAACTATTGTTGGCTGACTTTTCTGTCAATGAAGAAAACAAATATTTTAGATGGGAGTTTGTACACTCCTTAAAAAATGGTATACGGTATAAACTCATTCCGAAAAATAACAATGAAATGTATGTAGGCTATATAAAGAATGATGGTACACAAGTTAAAGTTCCATTAGACAACAACTGCTACTTAAACTTATATGGAGACGAACAAAAGAAATATTTAAGAGTTTATGAAATGGCAGATATGACATTGCCTGACCCAGCTCCAGCACCATATTATTATGACTATGGTGTTGACGCACGTGTAGACCCAAAAAAGCAAACATTATATTTAGAATATTATAGATATAAAAGATATAATGCAATAGAAAAAACGAGAATAGTATACTATTATGAAGATGACAGAAATAAATATTATAGTCAAGACTTTACCTACCCTGAAAACATAAGATTATATTATAAAAAATATTCTGACACAAACCAGAAGAAACCTGAAATAGTTGCACTATATTTTAAGTTCAAAAGAGACAATCCTATATTATCTCATATGTTTGATTTAATGAACCCAGTAGGTTCTATTTATACATCTATGGATGCAAGATGTCCTCAAGTAATGTTTGGTGTTGGTGCATGGGAACAAATAGTTGACAGGTTTTTGTATTGTGCAAACTCTTCAAAGGAAACAGGAGGAAGTAAAACGATTTCAGGTGAAAATTTACCTGCGCACAGTCACTACATAGATTTAAGTACATCTCAAGCAGGTTGGCATAAGCATAAATTTTGGGATTGGTCAGCAATGAAAAAAGGTAAAGGATATGATGTTAAAGACGACGTTAAGTTTGCTATAAATTGTTACTGGGATGACACTCAGGGAGAAGGAAACCATACACATTTCGTTTCAGGATATACACAACAACGGGACAAAGTAAAGAATACATGCCACCTTACATGACAGTTTACGCATGGTATAGAATTGCTTAGTCGTCATTTTCAACTTCTTTAGCATATTCGTCAGGAGTTGTCTTATATTTGTTAGGAACTGTCTTTGAAAGTATACCACCTTGAACTTTGACAAGTTTGAAACGAGGTCTGACAATAGTCGTTTTATCTTCTGCTTGCAGTGTGTACATTTTGCCATGTTTGCCTAAAACTTCATAATATTCTCTTGTATACTTTCTTCTATTTTTTACGAACACGAATGTGAGTACCTGTCGGGTTCCCATTGTTGTCATAGTCAATAGTATTTTCATATGGGTCGCGTTTAGGTATTTCTATTTTTACTTTGTCACCTTTCTGAAGTTTGAAGCCCGGCATTCTTTTCTTGTTTGTCTCTTTTGACTAAATTATTAAATATATAGTCTTTCTCTAAGTCAGGGTTGTTTTTCATTTCTTCGGGGGAGTGGTTTCCCAAACCTTTTTGTTTACGGCTATTGTAAATATTTAAAACTTGTCTCATCTTTGCCATGGAGAAGTGTCTATACTTGTCGTCATATGACATTTCATTTGCTTCACCACCTTGTGGTTGGTTTAAGTCTCTTAACATTTTTATACATCCGTCAATGACACAAGAGCAGAATGGTTTTGGTCGACAATGAAATATTGGTTTACATTTTTTGAACGCAGATAGTTTTTAATATCATCTGATTTGAAAGAACTTTCACAGTCAGATGTCAGTTTTGTTGGATGGTATTTGTCAACGAATATTGTCAAAGCAGTTTTCACATCTAAAATATTTTTGGACTGTAATGGTATGGCTTCACAGTATCTTGTGTTTTGACCGACAAATATTAGCCAGTATGGTGGTCCATCTTCTCTATACCTCGGAATGTTTTCCAAGATATCCATAAACCAAGCATTTGGTGTTGAACTAAAGATTTTTATCATGAGTGCTTTCTTTGTTGCCTTAGAAACATAGGGGTCCTTGTTTGGATTCGTCATTTTTTAACCCATAAGAAATGGGTTTATTTGGCGCATTAGCAGGAGTTGCATCCAGATTTTTGCCCGCAGTGGGAACAATAGCCAGAGGTGTATTTGGAGTTGGAAGGAAGATTTTGAGTACATTAGGTATACTTAAAGAGAAAGCACAACCTATTATACAAACTGTACAGAAAGGTTGGGATGTAGCACGAGATGCAGCAAATCTTATTCCAAATCCTGAAACAAGAGGAAAAGTTCAAGGATGGATGGACAATGTAGGAAGACAAGCAGGAAACTATTATAACAAAGCAAATGACTACTATAACCAAGCAGGACACTATATGGACCAAGGTGAAAGATTCTTTAACAGAGGATATAACCATGCACAACAATGGGTAAACAATAACCAACCTCAACCGCCTCAAACGTGGGGAATGTAAAAGTTTTTTACTGAGATGAAATGAACAATACAGCATTGAGACAAATGGGTTCAAGATGGATTTGTCGACTTCCAGCAGTTACACAACGTGTTTGTCAAGTTCTTCCTATACCTCAGGAAGTTTTAGACCGACTTAAAAAACCTAAACAACCAGTTGAAAACAAACCAAACTAAAATTTTTTACTGAGATGAAATGACCGAAGAAGTTGAAACGGTAGATTTGACACCACAAACAAAAAGTTCAGAACCATTGTCAAAACCTGTCAAAGAACTTACAGATGAAGAGAAAAATTCAATAATAGAAAGTGCCAGGTCTGGAAATACAAACCCAACTATAAAGTCACTTTTCATAGAAATGGAACGGCTAGTATCTCAAAAAAAGAAACAGACTCTCACAAATAAAATATTGAAGTCTGAAGGAGCTTTCGAGACAACAGATGGAAAAGTTTACTTCACTGACCAACAGTTCATTATAGAACATCTCATTGACTTAGAGTCGAAATATTCTAAACTTTACAACAAACACAAAAAGTTGAAAGGAAAACAAAAACAAATGGCATATGATATTTATGAAGATGTTGACGACACAACTGTTCCTGCAGGTGAGGTAAAGTCAAAGGAACCGAAAAGTGACGAAAAACCGATAGAAGAAGAAAAACCAAAAACTGAAGATAAACCAAAACCAAAGTTTAGTTTCCAAACTAAACCAAGTCAACCTTCATTAGCTGGTATGGGTTGGCGTCAAAGACTTATGGCAGCAGGTGGTTATGTAAAGTAAAGAAAAAAATATTTTTTTATTTTTATAAAAATGCCCCCATATAGAATGGATAGAAAATCTGCTAGAATAAAAGCAGAGTTGCAAAGATATGGTTGGAGAGTTTCGAAGAAGTTTAAATATAGGAAGGGAAGACCCATAAAAGTCTATGACAAACTGGCTGGTCTTCGCTACGAAATGGATTTGGAAACAGCACGTGCAAATTATCCAAACAGACTAGAGAGGTTAGAAGAAGAACGTCTTATGGACATGCCTTTCGATGTTAGTGAGCATTGCATGAAGTAAAAATTTATTTTTTAAAAAGTGACATTTTTTATTTTATTTGAAATGTACGCTGAGTTTGTTGGAGAAGACCGTTGGGAAACTTGTTTGTTAGATGAGAAATATGAAATTCACTGTTGTGAGTCATTTGAAGTCAGAAACAAAAAGACAAAAAGAGTTTTAAGCGAATGGGAGGGGAATGACGGATATGCTATAGTTAGTATGGGTGGAAACACTATCTTAAACATGTTGTCATTGCAACTCATTTTATACTGAATCCTAACAATTTACCTTTTATAGACCATATAAACCATATAAGAAACGACAATAGACTTGAAAACTTACGTTGGGTCACTCTTTCTGAAAACAATAAGAACAAAGGCAAATTTGGAGATATTGTATTCGAATTTGTCGACGAACTAGAAGATGAAACAATTGAAATTACAGACTATGGCAAGCATACGTTTGAGTTTACTACTATAGCGAAGAACAAGACTCTTTCTACTTTTATACCGGCGTAAACTATAGGAAATTACAAGTATATTTTACTAAGGCGGGCTATGCTTATGTAAACACTAGAGATACAGATGGAAAAAACGTTCAAATACTTCTTAACAAATTCAAGAAGCTATATGGCATACCATTTTAAAACAATATATTTTTACATATATTAAATGCTTCAGGTTGAAAAACAAAGAACAAAAGTAGCAGATACAAAACCGTTAGACTATATCTTTACAAATGCTGGTAGGACAATATCAGATGAAGAAATTTCATCCCGAACATACAGGTTTGACTATCCAATTCGTTGGCTTCAAAGTCCTTCAGATGCAAAGGCAATAGGATTTAGAAGAGTTTTGTTTTCAAATAGAACTAACGCATTTATGTTCGCAGTATATTTTCATGGGCAGTATAAAGGTTCTGATGGTCTAATAGACAAATTGACGAAATGAGAATCTTTACAGTTCGTTCAGACGAAAGTCTTGAGAAAACTCTAAATGACTTTCAAACTCAAATGAACAAATATTATTGGGAATTTCAAGAAAAATACGACTCTTTACTAAATGGAACATACTATCTGAAACTAGAATATGACAAGATGAACTCCACCGTTTCATTTCAAAAGATTGAAATTAACCCTCCAAGAGATACAGAGTTTTTATTTTGGAAAGTAGACAAACGTTCTTGGGCACAATTTCTTCGGTTACTAAACCAGAACGAACCATTACCACCAGATGGTCCATTTAAATTATACTTCCACCAGCAGATTTGACAGTTTATAGAAACGTGTTTGACCCTCAAAATGTTATGTGTCATGCAAGTTTCAGTTCAAGCAACAATAGTTTTCTATGTATTGGTAAGGACTTTTATGACTTTGCTTCTAAATTCTACGAACCACCTAGTAACAGTTTCTCTGACTTTCAAGTTTGGTTCACAACAAATGGTGTGCAACATATTATTCCATTGTACTATGACTTTTATCTCGAATTGTCTTTCATATATAACTACGGAAAAGTGCTGAAAAAGTATTGAAAAATAATGTTTATGTTAGCATGTTAGATCTAACACGTACTGCTTCAGAACAATATTTGTACTGCTTCAGAACAATATTTGTACTGCTTCAGAACAATACTTGTACTGTTTCAGAACAATACTTGTACTGTTTCAGAACAATACTTGTACTGTTTCAGAACAATACTTGTACTTTTTCAGAACAATACTTGTTCTGTTTCAGAACAATACTTGTACTTTTTCAGAACAATACTTGTACTTTTTCAGAACAATATTTCCCGTAAAAGCTCTCAATTTGTGAGAAAAATTTTCTGTTTCAGAACAATATTTGTACTGTTTCAGAACAATATTTGTACTGTTTCAGAACAATGTCCCACGTCCCACCAACCCAGTCCATTCCCAAACCAGAGGAACCTAAAGAACCACAACAGTCTCCTCAGCAACCTCAGTTCCAGCAAGTACCTCCGAATTTCTACCAATTTCCACCTCAAGGTTACTACCCACCACAAGGCTTCCCGAACTACCCTCCGCTGCCTATGCCTTACTTCCCCAACCCTTGGTTGTTCCAGCAAGCTCCACCCCAGCAATTCCAATCTCAATCCAAATCGAAGAGAGACCAAGAGTTCGAAGAAGGTCTGAACCGTTTACGCAAAGATTATGCCACAGCCCCTATTGAGAGAAAGTTGTTCCCGGACCAAAAAAATATAATTTAGGGTAGAAGGTTAGATCTAACCTGTTTTCTAACCTGTTTTCTACCCTCTTGAATTTGTCATGAATTTCCTTAGGATAGAAAAAATAAAGTTAGTTTTATACAAAATTCATGCAGGAAATTCTTGAGTTTTGGTTGAAAGAATACGGTGGAGCCAAATGTGGCTCGACCTCAAAACAAGCATTTTATGAGCTTACAAAGGGTGTTATGAATGAATTCAAATGTATTTACATACATCCTGACCTCGTTCATTTTGTTCCCGGACCAAAAAATATAATTTAGGGTAGAAGGTTAGATCTAACCTGTTTTCTAACCTCTTTTCTACCCTCTTGAATTTTCATGATTTCATCGTATATGCTTTGTCAAGACTTCTTCGTATATGTTTTGTCAAGACTTCTTCGTAATGAGTGTAAAGGACCCAAAAATATAATTTAGGGTAGAAGGTTAGATCTAACCTCTTTTCTAACCTCTTTTCTAACATGGTCTAAAACTCTCGAAAATCATGAAATTTACACCAAAAATATAATTTAGGGTAGAAGGTTAGATCTAACCTCTTTTCTAACCTCTTTTCTAACCTCTTGAATTTGTCAAGACTTCTTCGTAAATGTTTTGTCAAGACTTCTTCGTAATGAGTGTAAATCAGACAAAAATATAATTTAGGGTAGAAGGTTAGATCTAACCTCTTTTCTAACCTCTTTTCTACCCTCTTGAATTTGTCATGAATTTTCCCGAAATAAAAAATAAAGTTAGTTTTATTTTTTTTATTTTTTTTATTTTGTATGTAAGAACAGAAATGTCAACAATCGGCACAACAACAATTCAAACAACAGCACCAAACTCGTTAGTCATGAATCCAACATCTATGTTAGTAGAGATGAAAAGCTTCATTCCTTCTTCATATACTTTTGAAACAGAAATCCAGAAGATAAAGCAAGAACTTTTAACATCTAATTTAAACTGTACCGCACAGGATGAAACAAATGAACAGTATCTTTATGAAATGCAGGACATTATTGACCATTTGCCTAAACTACCTGAAATCCAACAACAAAAGCTCACTATTCCTGAATTCGACGAAATTGAAGTCAAAGCAACTGACTCAGTAGAAATAAAGAAGTTCATACGAAAGGTAAACTATGAGTTTCTAGGATTTCATTGCAACCATAAGGTTATGGACAAAGATTGCGACATGGTATATAAGAATGTTTCTGACCTTTACAAAACCCGGGAGTTTAAGACCTACGACAACTTTGTTTCGTTAGTTGCAAAATGTGTATGGCAGATAAGAGATAAAGATAGAAGATGTAAGGTATGGAATGAACAAATAAAACCAACTGCTTCAGATTTAAAGAAAACCATTGACGCTTTAGTTGTTTTAGCAGGTAAGGTTTCAGAATATAACGCAAAAATGAACCCGCAATGTTCTAAATGTAAGGCAGCAATTAGGAAATATAACTACTCCGTCAAAGAGATAGAAAGAATGAGAAACGACTATGCAGACTTAAAGAAAGAAGCAGAAAAACCAGCAGAAGATAAAATGGACATGTTAGAATTTCTGAACAAAAACTATCCAACTGCTGACGATTTCCTTCTATCTGACGTCAAGAAGAAGTATAAAGAAACTTTCGGTATCGTTAAAACATTCGATATCCTCAGCGAAGAAATAGAAGCTACAAAACTGTTTAGAGTCTCACGAATTCATAACGTTTACCATGTAAAACGCTTATAAAATAACTGGGGTAGAAAAGAGGTTAGAAAACAGGTTAGATCTAACCTTCTACCCTAAAATATATTTTTATTGAATTCAGCAACAAAATTCTGAGTAAAATAATTTTTAGGGCATGTGTCAAACCGTTGAGTTTTCACAAAATTTCAAAAATAACGTTTACCATGTAAAACGCTTATAAAATAACTGGGGTAGAAAAGAGGTTAGAAAACAGGTTAGATCTAACCTTCTACCCTAAAATATATTTTTGTCTGATTTACGCTCATTACGATGAAGAAGTCTTGACAAAACATTTACGTTCATGTTTGACAAAACATGTACGATGAAATCATGACAAAACATGTACGATGAAATCATGACAAAACATGTACGATGAAATCATGAAAATTCAAGAGGGTAGAAAAGAGGTGAGAAAAGAGGTTAGATCTAACCTTCTACCCTAAAATATATTTTTGTCTGATTTACACTCATTACGAAGAAGAAGTCTTGACAAAACATTTACGAAGAAGTCTTGACAAAACATTTACGAAGAAGTTTTGACAAAACATGTACGATGAAATCATGACAAAACATGTACGATGAAATCATGAAAATTCAAGAGGGTAGAAAAGAGGTGAGAAAAGAGGTTAGATCTAACCTTCTACCCTAAAATATATTTTTGCTGAATTCAGCACAAAAATCTGAGTAAAATGGCATAAGATTGCTTCCCTCGAAACCCCAGTCGCCAAAACTCTATGAAAACAGTGAAGAACAGCGAGACCGTTTTTTTTTTTCTGGGTCGCCAAAACACATGAAATCGTGAAAATTTCTCTAGACCGGATTTTATCGGCCTTGCCTAAAACACATGAAAATCATGAAGCACAGCGAGACCGTTTTTTTTTTTTTCTGGGTCGCCAAAACTCTATGAAAACAGTGAATTTCCTTAAGATAGAAAAAATAAAGTTAGTTTTATTTTTTTTATTTTTTTATTTTGTATGTAAGAACAGAAATGTTAAACATTGAGTTTGAAACAGTTAGAAAGATAGACAATAACACCAAAGTGGTTAGAATCGGTGATTTAAACGTAAGATACTCAAAGAAATACAACAAATATTCTTTGTCAGACATTATATCTCCATCTGGAAAGAAAACATGGCATTGGGTTGGAATTGCTTCAACTCAGAAAATTTTGACAAGAAATCCTGAGCTTATGATATCGGTAAGATTCTATGGAACTACAGCATATCTCATCGACAAAAGTCTTATACCAATAGTTTTGTTATGGATTGACCCAGTTGTTGGATATAACTTCATAACATATGGTTTATTCGACTCAGAACGTTGCAGTGAAGGCTTACTTTACATCGTTCAGAAACCGAAGGACTTCAATACAAAAAGATATAAGATAGGAAGAACATATAATATAACTCAAAGATATGACAGTACAGTCAATAGAGTTAAGGTTGTGTTCGTTAACGATATGAGAGCTGCTGAAACAGAACTACTCGAAAAGTTTGAGAAAATGTATGGTGCTCCCATAAAAGGTAAAGAAACGTTTGAAGTAGATGAGATAGATAAAGCTATAAAATTATTTGACGAAGTTGCTGAAAAATACATGTAAAGCGTTTATTTTTGGTCTTTTGTGAAAGACAGAAAAAATAAAGTTAGTTTTATTTTTATTTATTTTTTTATTTTGTATGTAAAGACAGATATGTCAACAACAGAGAACACAACAACAGTTATAGTCCATGAAGCTATAAATGAAGAATACGAGTACATACAGTTTAACAAACAACTCCGTCTCATTCGTTCGGTCAAAGACGATATGTACCAAATGCAAAGTATTTTGAACGCTCTTCGTTCTACAAAGCAAGCATATCATTGGTTTGAAAACCAACAGACAAAAGAACTTTTAGAAGAATTTCCTCATATGTTTGCTTCCCTCGAAAAACCGAGGAATGAGATTCCGTATGAAAATCGTAAAAATTTGCCAATAAATTTAAGAGGATATTATGTTCATAGACTTTTAGTAAATGCCGTAGCAATGTGGGCTTCACCTCGTTATGCTTGTTATATTTACAGACTTCTTGACGAAATTCACAGACAAGAACGCGAAGAGCTAGAGAACAAGCTTGAAGCAAAAGACAAAAGCATTCAGAAAAGAATACCACGTTCGGTACCAAAAGGAAAGGAAAAGAACTATAAGTATATGATTTATACTGAAGAGATGGAAAATGAAGAAGACAGAGATATGGTTATGTTGCATTTAGTCAGAAGAAACAACAAAAGCTTTTACGACCTTGCTAAGATTTACAAATCTGACAGAAATTGGTTCTATCGCGAAAACTTACCGATTTCAATGACCCCGAATGAAGATGTGAAACAAATAGTTCAAGATACGTTACCTCAAACACACTATGATATGAAAGGTTGTACAATACTTACCTTCAAAGAAGACTTACCGCTACTGAAAGAAAAAATAACAGAGTATTTTGACAACTTCAAACAAGTAGGGTAGATGAACCATTTATTTTTCAAGCTTGACTTCAGATGGCTCAGGTAGCTCTATAAAGTAAATTGCCTTGTCAAATCCTTCTGGCATTCCGAGTCCTTCCTTCCGACAGAAAAATATTTTCCCGACAACTGGAAAAAAATTTCCTTCCGACAGAAAAAATTTTTCCTTCCAACAGGAAAAAATTTTCCAGTTGTCCGTCCGTAAACCATTCAAATTTTCGAAAATTGAGAACTTTTTGGTCGAACTTCAGGAAAAGTTTTTCCTTCCAACAGAAAAAATTTTTCCTTCCGACAGGAAAAGTTTTTCCCGACAACAGGAAAAGTTCTTCCTTCCGACAGGACACAAACGAATGTCTCACGTCCTCTTCCTGAATGCCTTCCAAAGCCAGAAGAACGACAGCCCCAGCACCACAACAGACTTACTAAGACTAAACACTTACATTTTTCAAGCTTGACTTTTTACAATTTGAACTTTGTTCGCGTAGATATGAATTCTGAAGAAGTATGAGGGTCTTGTATGACTTTGTACTTCTCCCATAGTTCATGTCTGTCAAACTTACCTGCCATGGACTCTTTCATAAGTTCCATGAAATCGTCTTCGGACAATCCGGGGAAAAGTACAATGTCAGTAAGTATTCTCTTTACATCCTTACTTAAACTCTTTGCTGTCTGTACACAAATGACAACTGAGATGTTAAAGTGTCTGAGCTTCTTAAGAATTCGACACATATCTTGTTCTCTATTCTTAAGCAAAGGATGAGAGGCGAAATCATCTAAGATAAGAAGACACCTATGAGGGTATGTCTTCCAATCGTAAGATTGTAATTTCTTCGAAATGTATTCTATCTCTTTCTGTTTGTTTCTGAAGTGTTTCTTCTCTAATATTCTCTGCATTTCCTCATTTGGGTCTTTAAACTTAGAATTTATATACTCATTTATAGCATAACTTCAAAACTCTTCTTTGGTACTTCTTTATCCAATCTAACAACTCAGTATCCTTTATACATACTAACTTAGACTTCTTTATAATATCTTTGAACGAATTGACGGTTTGGTCAAATTGACCAGAAGTACTACAAATAACAACTAACTCATAGAATGGGTTCTTCTCATCTAGTTCTTGTTGTTGTGCAGCCATTTTTAAGATAAGTGAAAGTCTTACCCGACCCAGGTGTGCAATTAGACCTGTTATACCATTCTGAGCAAATAAGAACTTGTCATGTATAGGCTTTATCTGAGCATTTTCTAACTTTCTCTTGTTCTTATTTAAAACATTCTCAAATTTCTTGTCAATGTCAGCAAACTTTTTTTCTAACATATTTTTTAGAAAAATTAAAATTTTTATCTTTTAGAAAATGTCTAGCGATTTCGCTATCTATTCGAGACAAGCTTTTTGACAGCAAAACATCTGTCGACCATAAAATCTTACATAGTGTAAACAAGAAAGGTGAATTTGTTCTAAAGTTCTGTTTCTGGGAATATGACAAGAACCATAAAACATTAAGCAGAGAAGTCTTAAAATTTGTCAATGACAGACTTGTTGACAGAGATGACGCCGATTGGAAAGATGAAGTCCAACAAAAGTTCTTAGAATGCAAAGAAGACACATGCGCTGTTCTTGAAGATGAAATAGAAAACAGAATAGATGAGCTATTAAAGGACAAAGAACTTTTACATAAATATGGTTCGGAGAAATTTGACATAACTCCACCAGAGAAGAAGAAGAGAGAAAAGAAAGAAAAGAAAGAAAAGAAAGTAGAAGAAGAGAAGAAAGAAAAGAAAGTAGAAGAAGAGAAGAAAGAACCTGAACCAGTTCCAGAGAAAAAGAAATTTGACATGAAAATAAAATTTTATTTTTAGAACATTTCTGGGTCAATGTCAATGTTCTCTTCCTCTTTAGGAGCAAACACTGGCTTAGACTCTAAAATCTTTTTACCCAATTTACCTTGAACTTCAACTATCTTAGACTCATAATATTCATAGTCGTCTGCTTTTCTTTGGTTCATAAGGTATAACAAGTTTGTATGCTTTGCCTTCTTTAAGGTTTGAGAACCTTCTGTCAAAATTTTCTTTGACTGCTAACAAACCTTCTATGTCTAAGTCTTCAAATTTCGCACCATTTTTAGTCACAATAGCAAACTTAACTGGTTCGATGTTCCAAACTTTGCTGAATGAAGACTTTTCAAAATGGTAGAAGTAAACATTCAAATATGTGAATGGGTCTAGTTCTTCTTTAAGTCCTGACATGTACTTGTTTACTGAGATGAATTTTGCCATCTTTTCTATCGGATAAAAAAATATTTTTTTTTAAATTTACTCATAAAAATTTTTCTTTGTATATACACCATTCTGTACGTCTAAAAGACTTTTGACATTTGCAAGAATGTACGTTTAGACGCGTCATATAACCATATTCTTGACAATATTGTTTATACGAATCGTACAATGACCTTTCATCTAAACACTCAAAATCAGTTTCATCTATGAACAGTTCATATACACTCTTGTTTGCTTCTAACAATGTTTGTCTCTCTTCGGTATGTGGAATTTGTCTTGGATTGAACTTAGAAATATCTAATGTCATGAAATATGAGAACAAGTGGTTGTAAAAAGTCAGATGTCAAAGTTTCTGCTAAGTCGTCAAAATATTCTGTATCTTGCATATGAGAATCTGACGTTCTGACAACTACATATCTTCTGTCAGAACTTTCTAACTTCATCGGAACAGTATTGTTTGAAACCATAATGAAGTTTGCAACATTTTCACAAACTCTTTGGTCTTTATACTTTCTTTCAACAACTCCAACTTTGTCTGTTATAAGACTCTTCAAAGCATCTGAGTTAAAACTTTTGTTGTATCTATACTTTGAAGTTCATTGCAAACTATAAGTTTCATATTCTCTATTGAGGAGTTAAACTTGCCACAGATGTTTTCTAAGTTTGTCATATTCGGGTTCGAATAGCCCTCTAACAGTTTGCACAAAATATCTGTAAAGAAGTGTTCTTACCAGTTCCTTGTTTTCCAATTATAATGAGAGCAGTTTCATTTTTAGCACTTGGATGTTGTAAGATGTTTGCAAACCAACATAAGATATACTCATAAACCTTTTCGTTTCCATTGCATATAATTTCTTTGACATGGTCTAACCAAGCTTCTATAATATTTTCTTTCCATTCTACTTGTTCGTATTTATATCCAGTGAAGATAGAATAGAAGTTTGGAGAAGGTGTATAGAACTTTATACCTCGAACTGAAAAATCTTCTAACTTTGACAATAAGATATCCCAAGCATCTAACATCTTCATGCCAACTTGTACGACTTTTATTTTCTTAAGTTTCTGTCTACATTCTTGTTCAGAACTATTGTTGCTCTTGGTTTGTTAAAGACTACATCCCATTCTTTCATAACATAACATTCTGGGGCAGAGTCAACATAAATGACTAAACGTTTCAAATTCTCGACTGCTTTGTTATAGTCTCTAAATGGACACATATTTCTGAATGCTTGGAAGTCATAAAAATCTGAAACATCTATTCTGTACATTTTATAAAAATAAAAAAATATTATTTTTTTATTCTTGACTTTGTTGTTCATTTGTTGCATTTGTTGTTCTTGAGCTATTTGTTGTTGAAGTTGTTCTTGTAATACAATACTTTCACCAGTTGCATCTTCCAATTCGAACTTTCTGCCGTCATTGACAAATACATAGGACATAAAAGTTTTACAGGAACAAAGTTTGCGTCAACTAATGTCAACGTTATACTTGCCAAAGTGTTTGAGTTCACTAAGGTTGAAAATTCTGCATTCGAATGAACAATAGGCAAACCAAGCAAAAAGTATTGTTTATACGCATAAGTATCTTTTGGTCATAATAGTTTCTGTCGACATTCGAATAACACTTTGAACCTAAGTTTGAAACAATATATAAGATTGGTGTGCTTAATGTCAATGGAATAGACATTCCTTGTATGACACCTTTTCCTGTTATAGGAAACTGTTGGTAGTAAAAACCAGAAATAAGTTTTGTATTATAGCTCATATTGTTTATAGTAAACTCAGTCGGACATCCAAACATAATGAACCTGCTCTAGTTGCAGCACATGTTACACCCGTCCTTAAAGTATTAAATAAGTCAACAAAACCTGTTGGTGGTATATCTGAGTAAGTATCTTCAAAGGAGTATTTTTTACCATTCACAACAATAAAGTCTTCGGTGTCAAAAGAGCAAAACAGGCTTTAGTCGTCATTGTGTTTAAGGTTAGTTTACAATATCGTCCTTGAGGACTTTGTAAGTTTGTTGTTATAGAATTATATGACTCAGGGTTTTTAGTCGTAATAGTATAAACCATTATGTCTTCTGCCATTTATATATATTTAAAAGTTTTTCTGAAAGTGGAGAAGAACTTCATCTAAACTTTCACATGGCGTTTCTGAAGTTCTCTGTCTAAGAAGTTCAAATATTTTGTAAAACATAGAACTTTCCTTTGTCTACACGAACAAACAAAACAGGGTCTTTCATATCGTTCAAAAGTGTGTAAAGTCCTTTACATGAAATAAATCTATATTATTTTTTCTTCAAACATCTTTCAAGAAGTTTTGACATTTTTACTTAGCAAATAAATTTTAATGAATGTTGTGGTCGTCAAATATTTTTATGACGTCTGGGAAACTATACTTTAAGTTCAACGTTTCACCTCCTTTCATAACGTATATCTTGTCAATGACATTATATGAAACACCACAGCAACTAATGTCGGGTTCGATTTCTTTGATGTTTATATCGTCTGCCTCTGTCAAAAGTTTCAATAGTTCTTTCAAAACTTCATGAGTGCAATGACATATGAGTTCACTTTTACAGGGTTGTGTTCGACCAAGTTTAACATTATACCTAAAGCTTGACAAATCTTCTCCTGAGTTTGAAGTTTGTCTTTCAGTTGTTGGTAGTCGTTTCGAATATCTGCAACAGAACTTAAGTCTCTGCTAACTTCAGGATATGTTGGTTGTTCTTTTACAGGAACAATTGTTATACCATCTTCGTCCTCGTATGGTTTCCCCACTTCAACATCTCTGTCTTTGACATTGACAACAACACTTTGACTGTTTGTTTGAGTTGGTGAATTTAACTTCACATCTGCCACCGCCATTAAACCTTTTGAAACACTCACGCTTCTATTTTCGAAATGACATTTTACTTAGAATAAAAAGATGGACGTATTCGAGTATCTCTTCGAATTGAAGCAGAACAAAGTTTACACACACAAACAATACAAATACATTGACAGAATAGTTCTTTATACAAACAATGGTAAATGTTATAGAATAGCAATATTTGCTGAACCAAAATATTTCCATAAAGCAAAGAAAGTTGGTATAACTGAAATGGTGAAAGTTCTTGACGTTGACAAAATATAACAACAAAACTTACAGATATTTCTAAAGGTAAGTTTATCTTACAATATTATGTCAAAACTGGCGTACTGTCAATATTTGACGGAGAGAAGTCAGTTCAAACAACTTACTGACCTGCTGCCAAAATCTGCTCGATGGAAGCTGTCGTTATGCCAATCTGAGGAGCCCCAGCAGGTTTCATCGAACGAATCTTCAAAAGAGCATCTTCCGTGAAAAGTGCTATTGGTTTTGTAAACTTCTTTGCTCTCAGTTCATCTGGACCGTCTCTGTCACCAGTATATTGTATTTAACTGTACCAACAGTTGAAATACCACCCATAAAGTCTTCTGAGTCAGCAAATGGAATGCCAAGCCAAAAGTTTGAACGGTCTCCATTTGTATATTGAGTTTTTTGACCTCCTGTATGAGTCCATACTTTCACATATGGCATAATATAACTTTGCATTTCAGGGTTTATGGTTGTTGTGAAGTTGTTGTTAAAGTTCATAGCATCTAATGTCAAGTTGTATGACCTCATATCCTCAACTGTAGAATATTCTTCTCTTGGATAATATTTGCCATCTATGTTATATGATATTTAATACCGGGGTTGTAGAAACAAGAATAGTCATTTATAGTTCGTCTGAACAGTACAAACATAGTATCTGCATGTTTCATTGCAGTTGTTAAAGCAATATCTGTTCTTGCACCTGGGTCAGCACTTTGGTTTCCAACTTCACCTGCAAAGTCTTTGACAGATATTTGGTGTATAGGGAACATAAGTGGAACTGCAATATATTTGGCAGCTAAAGCATTTGAAATATCTGGGTCCAACATATAGACTGCAAGTCTGCTTTCTATTCTCTTGCATTCAAACTTTTCGCATGTGAACTTAACTGGGTCCCAAGCAGTTCCAGCAGCATTGAAATAATAGTTTACTTCATTGTTGAAGTTTGAGAAACCAAAGTCTAAGTCAACTTTGTCTTTGCAAAAGTCACAGAACTTGGCTCCACCAGTTCCAGCTACAGTAATGCTGAATGGGTCTTGTGTTGGTGCAATGACTAAGTTATTTTTGCTTGGAGTAAGTTCGATAGAAATTTTTCCTGCCCAGTTTGGTAAGTATCTTAAAAACCTGAAGATGAGGAAAGATGACAAAGGAACTCTAAGTTTCAGTTTTACTTTAGTGGCAGCATTTCCATCTGAACCAGAAAGGTTAACATAAACTCCTGGAACGTTAGGGTCAAGTCTTCTTATTTTCTCAATATTTGCATACTGGTCTGTTTGTTCTCAGCTTGTGGTTGTACTGAGTTTCTCAAAGCGAACCATTCATAGTTGCCCATTTACTGTTTGAACTAAGTCAGAGTTAGAATATATCTTATATCCATGAAAACTTCTGGAGCATATTGGTATCCGACATAGAAAAATTCCATTGCAAACCTTTCTTGTCAGACAACTTGGCAGAAGGTTTTATTTCAATGTCTTGTTCCACGTATAAGAATGAGTTGTCAATAGAAATAATATGAAACCTGTCACAAGCAATATCTACTGTTGTTGAAGAACCTTCTCCAAACTCACCTACGTTTCCATAAGAAACAGCAGTTGTATATTCGTAAGTTCCAGGAACTATTTCTTGACCTTCTAATGGCATTGTCGCATTCGTTATACCATTCGGAAACATTTCCGTTCATGGCATCCAAAACTGTTGCGTTATATTCTGAGCGGCGTACATTTCATATGGGTAAAAATATAGAATAGTTGGATTTATATATCATAATAGAACCCACTCGTACCAAGCTTTACTTTGTTCTACTCTTCTTCTTTGGTGTCGCTTTTTGGTAACTTGCCCTCTGCTTCAAGTTGTTGCATCTTTGCCTCATGTTCACCTAGTATGTTGTAAATTTCCCATGTCCTTTTTGCCTTTGGGCTCTGGTCGCCCAACTCAGGTAACCTATATCCTAGAAAGATTTTGTCATAGTTTGTATTTGAGTCTTCGCGTATTGTTTTGCATGACTCTTTCCTGAGTTTCCGGTTCAAGCTCTTCAAACAGAGCTTGTCCATATGGAATAAGCTCGTTTCCAAATATATGTTTTGTAGCCATTCTGGTTTTCTTTCCATGTTACCAACAATATCTTTTGTGAATGGAAAAGCTTTTACCCAATGTTTCAGTCTTGCGTCATTTATTTCTGTAGTTGTTTTATTTTGTCAAGGAACATGTTTTTCAATACTAACATTTCATTTGGTACTGTCCATTTGAGTTTTCTTAAATATTCATCCCTTCTCGGTTCATTGTCTGCAAAGTAATTTTTATGACATTTTGTAAACTTTCGTTTGCAAGGTCATGTACAATAGGTTCTTCCTTTCTCTCTCCCTAACTTTCTTTCTAAACTCTTCACCAATAATACCATCTCTATGGTTCTGTGTAGTTCTTTGAGATAAATGTTCTAGAACGTCAGGTGTTATATTTCCATCAGCCATGTTCATTTCATACTGGTCCAAAATATCTGCATCTTTCATATCTTTCAATGGCATTAAAGCCGCGCTGAAAATACCAGCTACATCTGGTTCACCATTCACTTCCATTGCGTCTACAACTTTCTTGGAATTGTGGTTGTAAGTTTATGAACCACCTATCCGGATTAGCTTTATGACCCCATCTCATTGTAGTTCCATCGTCTGCAGAAACAAAAGTAGGTTTGTTTCCATATTGGCTAGGTTCTGAATGAACTTTAAACAATGTTTCATTTCTATATGTTTTGTTGAAATTTAACCTTTTATTTTCACCGAGTTCATCCAAAGATTGAACGTTATATGCTCGTAAGTAAAAAGGATTGTTGTATTTGTGTACACTTTCTTTCAGTTCTTCCATTCTATGCTGGATATTTTCATCTGATGTTGGAGTCTTTTGTATGTCGGCGAACATTTTTCGATATTCTTCTACTATGTCAGCCGAATTTTTCTTAGACTCTTGGAAAGATTCCATATTCCCCGCATACTCTTGTTGAGGGTCAAGATTTTTCGGCTGTTCCAAATCTTCATCTAGTTCTGTGAAGTTAGTTTCCAAAGGAGGGACTTGTTCGTTTCCTTCTGGCTCTTCTAGCTGTTGTTGCTGAACTATTTCTTCCATGTCTGGTTGTATCTGAACTTCTTCCTGTGGAGTTTCTTGTACCTCATCTGCTGGCATTTCATATATTCCGAGACCGTTTTTAAAAAGTTCCCTATCTAAGTCATCCGGACTCATAAACCTTTCTTCTTTCGTTCCGTCTCTATTTTTTACGCGTTTCATGAAGAGAGTTGAATTATCGTTTAGCTCTGACACCAAATATCTTGGAGTAAATTCAGTCATGTCATTTGGATGATATGCTATTAAATCATATCCCTTAGCGAGCTTGTATTTTCCAGGTTTGAAATTATATCCCATTTGGTGCTGAACCATAAAGCTAAATAGGTTCGGGTCAGTATTTCCTTCCTTGAACTTTCTAATAGCTTCTTTATATCTGTCACTAAAGTCAAGAGTATCTGGGTAACCATAGTCTTCCTTAAGCATTTTTAAGAATTCTTGGTTTCCTTGTTCTCTACTTCTTTTATGTCCTTGCTCTGTTTGTGGTTGTGGTGCAGTGTTTTGAACTGTTGGTTGTGGTGCAGTGTTTTGAACTGTTGGTTGTTGTGCTGGATTTTGAACTGTTGGTTGTTGTGTTGGTTTTGGTGCATGCCTGTGTCTGTGTCCATGTGACGATGTAAATGTTTTAGGTAGTCCTGGTGTGCTTCTCTTGGAGGGTTTGGTGTATATAAGTTCCACCAGCTGGCACATATGTTCCATCTGCAGCATAATGTCCTACCTGACTTTTCGTTTTTAAGAAAGCATTTACTAGGTCTGTTTTGGTCTGTTGTAACTCTTTTTCTTGACTTTCCACAACAGTTGCTCTAACGGCGTCATAGGCACTTTGAACTGCCTGTCTCGTTGCTGCATCTGTTATTTTCGTCATATTTTGTGCTACTTCTCTTAACTCTTTGTCGAAACCTTCAGACTTCAGTTTCTTTCCAGATGAGAAGTCGTTCACTAGTTTCAACTTACTATGAAGAGCTTCGAAGGCGTTCTTAAAGTCAGCATTCATTAAAGCTTCATTTGAACTGTCTTCATCCGCTTGTATTTTTGTCCTTATTGACCCTATAAGTTGGGCTGCTTTAGCGTTGGCTTGGGCATCTAACCAGTCATTATTAGCTTTTATATATTCTGCGCTTTTCATTGCCTTTTGCATGGCTGCGTCGTTATTTTTACTTTCTTGTGCTAAGTTTTCATACTGTACGGTTTGGTTTTGCAACTGTAAAAGTTTTTCTGCCTTTACATTTGCTTCAACTTCTTTTTTATACTCATCGCTATCCATATATGTCTTCAGGGCTTTTTGTTTTATCTCTTCATCTTTCAGTACTTTATATTGAGTAGTATGGTTTTTCAAATTTATAACATCTTGTTCCATTTTTGCTACTTCTGCTGCTTTTTTGACACTTTTTTCGCATATTCCTCTGTACTTAGTTCTTTCAGTTGTTCTTCTTTCTTCTTTTTCTCTACGTTTAACTCATTGAGTTTCTTTGTGTGTCTGTCATATTCTAGTTTCTTTTCGTTTTCACTTATTTGTTTCTGTATGTCTATGTTTGACTTTTTGACATCTGTTATTTGATTTTTGAGTGAACTCAAATTCATTTGACTTTGAGGGTTATAGGCTGTTCCGTCTGCAGCTCCACCATAGCCTGCCATTTTCGCTAAAAGTGCCGCTCTTAAACCTCCACTCTGTGCACCAATAACTCGGTTTAAAAGCATAGGGTTGCTTGACATTTGTTGCAGCATAGTGGGGTCATTCATAATTTGTTGTTGCAACTGTTGTTGTGGTGTCAGTTTTACTATTGGATGTTTCAATGCTCTCTTCCTCTTACGTATATTCTTACGTAGCTTACGTGGCATTTTAAGTGAAGTAAAAAACGGTTTTTGACAGATGTTTATATGACACTATTTGTTCAGCACAAAAAACTACTCGGTCAAAGTGTTGTCAGTTTTGTAAAATAACGGTCCTATCTCCGTGCCTATGACGAAGAAGTCTTGAAAATTCAAGAGGGTAGAAAAGAGGTTAGAAAAGAGGTTAGATCTAACCTTCTACCCTAAACATTATTTTTGGTCATTTACACTCATTACGAAGAAGTCTTGACAAAACATTTTACGAAGAAGTTTTGACAAAACATTTACGATGAAATCATGAAAATTCAAGAGGTGAGAAAACAGGTGAGAAAACAGGTGAGATCTCACCTCTTCACCTAAAATATATTTTTGTCTGATTTTACGAAGAAGTCTTGACAAAACATTTACGAAGAAGTCTTGACAAAACATTTACGAAGAAATCTTGACAAATTCAAGAGGGTAGAAAAGAGGTTAGAAAAGAGGTTAGATCTAACCTTCTACCCTAAACATTATTTTTGTCTGATTTTACGAAGAAGTCTTGACAAAACATTTACGAAGAAGTCTTGACAAAACATTTACGAAGAAATCTTGACAAAACATTTACGAAGAAGTCTTGACAAAACATTTACGAAGAAATCTTGACAAAACATTTACGAAGAAATCTTGACAAAACATTTACGAAGAAGTCTTGACAAAACATTTACGAAGAAGTCTTGACAAAACATGAAAACATATATAATTTGTGAAAAGCGACACATTATATATAATGTTTTCGACCCAGAAGACTAACAATTTTCCGAATAAAAAACTTCATTAATATTAAACATCATCAGGGCTAGAAGGCACGAAGTGCCTGGAAGCCCCACTACCTTTTTTTTTTTTTTTCTATCAATTTCGAAGAAAAATTAACGTTTTTTACTCGGTTTTCAATTGATTTGAGTTATTTTTTGGTCAATATCATTAAATATAGTAATGATTCATATTGTTGGTAAAAGTTTTATGATTTTAAAGCTAAAATTTTATCATTTTTTATTTTTCAATATTATTGATGCTTCGATCTTTCACAATTTTCTCAACACTAATACGCAATCCAATAAAATTGCATAGTACACCCTCTGTGGAAGATCAAACATTAACAATTTCAGCAGAAACTGATTTTACAAATGATAGTGTAATCACAGAATTGATAGAAGAGAATAATGTCAATACCATAGTAATTTCTGCACCTATTCAAACAATACCAAAGAAAGATTATTTCAAAACAATTCAAACAGTAAAAATTACATCAACATCTACAACAGCATTAGAAGCTGGACTATTTCAGAACAATGCTTATATAACAGAAGTTCAATTACCAACATCCATTACATCTCTTCCTGATTATTGCTTTGCTTATTCTTCAATTTCTAAAATTGACATATCAAAAATCACTACTTTCGGAGCTTCGTGCTTCGCACATTGCCCACTTCTTACTAATATCAGTTTTCCAGGATCTGAAATTCCATCCGGATTTGCAGCACATTGTTACGCATTAACTCAAGTAGATTTGGCTAAAAGCACAATATCAATAGGTGCTAGCGCGTTCTCGCATTGCATTAGTTTGAAAACAATAGATTTTGCGAAGATTTCAACAATTGGCGAAAATTCTTTCGAATTTACAAATATTCTTGAACTTAAAATAGTTTCAACAATCATTTCAATTGGAACTCAAGCGTTCCAATACTCTAATTTGTCAACTTTGACATTTTCTTCAATAAATTCAAATTTAGCTATTTCAAGTCAAGCATTTAGAGGCTGTTTATTCAAGTCTGTAATAGTTCCAGCAATTTCACTTACAAATAGTGAATATTTGTTCGGTGAATGCCCATATTTACAAAAAATTACTTTAGATTCAACAACAATTGCAATTCCAGCAGGATTTTGCAGAGATTGTTTGAATCTTACAACAGTATCGGCACCAGGAGTCACTGAAATAGGCGAAAACGCCTTCTTTAATTGCAAATCACTAAATTCAGTAACATTTGGAACAATAACAGCCTTTGGAAACTCATGTTTCAGGTTCTGTGAGTCCCTTAAATACACTATTCCCGTTGAAACAACAACAATTGGCGATTATTCATTCGCTTATTGCCAAAATTTAGTTTTATCGGATTTACCAAATTCACTTTCTATCAGAAATTTTGCGTTTTTAGGTGTAAATTCAATTCAATCTTTAACTGTTAATTATTCACTTGGAAAAGGCTGTTTCCAGGGTTGTGGATACTTAACAACTGTCACAATAAAGTCTCCTTGCACTGTTATTCCTCAGTTCACTTTTTGTAACTGTTCAAATTTGACAAAAGTGACATTTTCTGACATTATTGATGAAATTGATTCCTATGCATTTTCTAGCATCGGAATTGTTTCATTACTTAATATATCCAGTGTAAATTTAGTTAAATCTTTCGCTTTCAGTTATTCAGGCGTAAAATCAATTTTGATTCAAAACACAACAGAAAATTTGGCATTTTTCGGTTGTTCTCAATTACAAAAAGTGACAATTTCGTCAACATGTGAAGATTTCAATCCAATGTCATTTTTGAACATTTCTGATTTGTCAATTTCTGTAAAAAGTGACAATCATAATTTACAAATTGTAAACAAAACAATTTACAAGAACCAAACAATAATTTGTTGTGTTTTGCCAACATATTCTGACAGTTTATTTAATGTGTCAGATTTTATGACAGAAATTGGCAAATATGCTTTTTGTTTGAACACAGAAGTAGAGACATTAGAAATTCATTCATATTTGGTATTGAATTCACAAGAATATTCTCATTTTAAGATTTTGAATATTACAAAAATACCAAAATCAACTCCAATGATAATTGAAAGTTTCGGAGATTCTTATAATCTTAGAAAGATATCAATCAAAACATCTATATCTAAAATCAAAGAATACGCATTCAAGAACTGTTACAAACTATCAGAAGTTGAAATTTCTGATGATACAATACTATTAAAAGGAGCTTTTAGTAATTGTTATTCTTTAGAATCATTTACACTTCCTTATATGAAAAATAGTGAAGATCTTGATTATTCCTATTTGTTTATGAACTGTATCAAACTTTCTAGTGTAACAATAAAGCCAACAATGATTACACTCAAAGAGGGAATGTTTATGAATACAGGATTCAAAGAATTCACTGTTCCAAACACAATTCAAGAAATAGAATCAAAATGTTTCGCAAATTGTGAAAAATTATATAGAATAACTTTGGGAAATTCCATAACTAAAATTGATTCCCAGAATGATTGGTTCATTGGAAATAAATTCACATTAGTTCTCCATAAATATGTGAATTATATTGATTCAAATGCTTTCGTAAATTATCCAAATTTGAAAGAAATTACAATTCCAAATGATAATCCTTATTATTTGTCTGAAAGTCAGTGTATTGTTGAAAAGACAACAAACGCATTGATAACAACTTATGGAGTATTGCCTCAACAATTCAAGATTCCAAGTTCTGTTGAAATCGTTGAAGAAAACTCATTAAAAGATCTTAGAAATAATGAAATTCCTTTCGAAGGAGAAAAATTCACAAATGAAAAACCTGCTTCGATTATCATTATTCCTTCTTCTGTTAAAGAATTTAAGCACCAATCAATAGCCACAACATATAGTGTTTGCTATCAAGGTGAATACTTCCAAACAGAGAATTTAAGAGGAACATATGCTTTTGTTGAAAAGAATTATTTCAATCCTTCTGTTTTCGGTGAAAATGTTGTTTATAAATGTGATAAATCATTAAGTGACGATTATAAATGGAGACACATAATAGGAATGACTGCTGCTGAAATCGGATTAACAGTGGCAGCTGTTATTTTAGGTGTTGGATTAATAGTTATTGTTATCTTATACTTTGTCTGCAGTAATGACTGGCTTGATGTTTAAAAAAGATTTTTATTACATATTTGAAAGATATAAGCTTTTTATTTATGAAGTATTAATATATTTAGTGCTTGATGATACTTCGTTTCGAGAGTTTTAATAATGTGGGATGTTATGAAGTATGTCAAAAATTGTAAGATAAGTATTGTTGGGTAAATTTGAATACCATTCAAAAGTAAAAATTCACAATTTGTTCGATTTGGACATATAATCTATTATTATATATAATGTAATTATGAAAAAAAATAAAATGACCTGCATATATTAATTATTTAGATTGCAAGATTCAAAAAAGCTATTAAAATTAGAGACTAAATAAATAGCGGATTGATTCATATGGATTTATGTAATTATAAACATTAAAATAGTTTATTTATTGATCTAATAAAAAAAGAAAAATATTAATGGGAAAATTGAAAGAATAGAGTGTCCCATTCACTCGTGTTGGTCGTAATGTGTCATTCTGGGAGACATTGCCACTGCATGTCTCCCACAATGGCACAATGTTCCGCATTCATAACTTGAATGCGGAACTTTGACCGACAAGAGTGTGTTCTGCACTCTTGTCGGACTGCACATATCATTCCTGGAGACATTGCCTCTGGATGGCACAATTTTTTGCAATCACAAAGTGATTGCAAAACAATGACCGACAAGAGTGCATTATGCACTCCTGTCGGTCACAAAGTGTCATTCTGGGAGACATTGCCACTGCATGTCTCCCACAATGGCACAATATTCCTTTGAGAAAGACCTGGAAGGGGGTCCTTTCTCAAGGTCAGGGCCCCCTTCTAGTCTTTCTGGTCCTGGAAGGAGCGCTTCTGACTGGTCTGTGCGCTCCTTCCAGGAAGATCAGTAGATTGCTCGAAGTTGGCGGCAAGTGCATTCCGACACCACAGATGCGCTTGCCGCAACATATAATTGCGAGTGTCTGCTGCTTTAGTCAAAAGAAACAGCAGACACTCGCAATGCGAACCGAATTGTCACAGAAAGACCTGGCAGGGGGTCCTTTCTCAAGGTCAGGGCCCCCTTCTAGTCTTTCTGGTCCTGGAAGGAGCGCTTCTGACTGGTCTGTGCGCTCCTTCCAAGAAGATCAGTAGATTGCGCCAATAAGCTCCTATCAACAAATTTTGACTAAAAATATATAGTATTCTTTTGTGATTTATCAAATAGCTCAATTTTAAAATAGATTTGATTCTAATAATAAATTGAATTAGTTTCGCTTACGTTTAGAATTTAATGATTTATATGATTTTTTCGTTCACAGAAGAGTCATTGATATCCAATATCACAAAACAGCAAAGACACACCATAATAAATGATATTGAAGCTAAATATTACATATTTCAACATATCTAAAAAATTAATAAGATTAGATCTCATGCAATGCCGAGCAGTTTCCTAAAGCATAATTACTTATTTATACAGAATCATGTATATCATTTTCATATTGCAAATTATATATTCTCACGAAGCAACATGAAATAGACTGTCCGAATTTAAATTCAAATAAAAATCTAATTCCAAAGATTTTCTTACAATATGTAATCTCGGTGTTGATTACTCGAATACAAAGGATGCACGTAATTTACAAATAGTTGCATTAATAGTAGTACAACAAAAATTTGATTTTTAGCTTGTCACTTGATATATAAAAATTGCAAAAACTCAATCAAAAATAGGATTTGGACAACTTTTTAAAATTGTGAGAAAAATTCTATCGGCACATTCTATTCAATTTTAAAGTATTTCTTTCATATTCCAATCGATTATTCAATAATTGCCAATCACAAATTTTAGTTCAAAATTCAAAAAATTCCTAATTTTAATTTCAGATGAAATCTCGTAAAAATAACATTGTTTTAACCATATAAATATATATTTTATATATTGTATAGTGATTTTTTAATATTTTTATGAGTAAAATCGAGAGTGAGGAAATGTGGACTACAAAAAACGATAGAAATGAATAGTTTACATGGAAATTCTATACTTACAAGTATTCAATGTCACTTTTGTGCTCGAGATTTTGATTCTAGTATAGTAGAGGAAAATATGTTTGTCCCTGCTAAAACTCTTGTATAATGAGATATTTTTAATTTTTTATAAAAATTTCAAAATTAAACAAGAATTTCAGCAGAGAGAAGTATTCCTCAGTGGTGAATTGAGAGGTCTTCTGCTTCTATTGAAGATTTCATATCTTCCTACTTAATTTTTTACAAGTATTCCTTCTTTTCTATCATTTCCTTTCCAAATCAGAAACTAACCAATTTGAAATTTTGCTCTTCTTCTATTTTTTTTTCATTTACAAAAATTGATCCTATATTCTTCAATCCTGGAATAGTTTTTTCGGTTTTCAACCTAAAAATATACTCATTAATTCCTCCGACCAATTTATCAATGGCACCAATGGATCAAATAGCTACATTAGATATTGTAAATTTATTAAATTACAAACAGAAGGAGCCATTAGATTTGATACCATCAGCAATGAAACGAGATGTCTTGTTGAAGATAGTTCATTTTATAAATGCTCTAATATTCAGAGCGAATCGATTCAAGGTAATGGTGGTTCAATATTTTTTGCAAATAATGGGCAGTGTATTCAATATCATATCTGTTCCATTGGTTCTGCAGCTTCAAAAATAGGTATTCACAGTTTTATTGCAGTCAATTCCAATTCTAGTTCGAAAAATCAAATTCATTCTTCTTCAATTTCATATAGTGGAAGACAAAATGAAGGAAGACATACTATATCAATGAACAATGGTGATATTAAAATTTTAAATTCAAATATTAGTTTTTGTAAAGCAGAAAATAGGTGTTTATATGAGATTAAAAATCCAAGTACACAATCTGATTTTGCTTTTTCATACTTTTTTAATTCATCAAATCCTGGCTCATTTTCCCCTTTTATTAGATATTCATATTCCCAAAACTTAAACAAGATTTATAGATGTAATTACATATACAATGGGGATTCTTTGTCTCAATCTGAGCTTGTCCTTTGTGAATCAACAAGTATTTTCTTCGAAAAATGTTGTTTTTATCTCAATAATCTTCCTTTTTATTTTCGTAATCAATATGAAACCGATAACATTACTCTTAAGTCATGTTTTTTAGATAACTTCAATAATGTCGATGAAAAAACAATTGATATACAATCTAGTCAAGAAACAAATGATCAATGTATGATACGAGATGTAGAATCAACATTAGTTCTCTCATCAGGCTTAGCAATTTCAACGATCACTACTATTATTGAAGGTTTACCCAGCTCATTTCTCACATTTATAAACACACAAATAGGAATTACAACAATAACAAATTATTCAGAAAACGCACCACCTCCTTGTTTTTATGTTTATATTCCTAATGGAGATGAAACAATCGATCAATTAGTACTTATTCATAAAATATCTATACTTTCAATTTCATTGACTTTTTTGAAGTAAAAATGAATGATATTTCACCTAAATCAAATAAATCAACTTAATATCTCAGATAATGTAAAACCCATTTGTTGTGAACTCTGTTCATATGAAAATCTCTATAATTTAACGATAAAATATAAAAACAATTTATTAACATATATAATCAAACAAATAAAATCAAACAATTTAAGCGAATTCGGGTGAAACGTATTCGAAATCGCCAAACTTTTCCATAACAGGCATGGCATCAGAATCCTCAGCTTCTTCCTCTGTGAACTTCTTATTGAAGTTGTTGAGGCTTTCGCTGCTGCTTGAATCCTTTGGGAACATGTAAGCATCTCTGCTCTTCATATCTGTCCAGTCGAATCCCTCGAAGAACTTTGAGTTCTTGATCTCTTCGAAGCCAGCTCTCTTTGCTGGATCCTTTCTGAGCAAATGAGCGATAAGATTTCTTGCATTTTCATCTTCGATTGGGAAGAAGTTTGGATTCTTGTTCATGATGTTAGAGTACATGATTGACTTGTTGGTATCAGCGAATGGTGTCTTTCCGACAACCATTTCGTACATTAAAATACCAAGTTGCCACCAGTCAATTGCTTCTGTGTAACCCTTGTCGGAAATGACTTCTGGAGCTAAGTATTCGCCAGTTCCGCACAATGTGTTTGTTGTGGACTGCTTTTCATTCAACATCTTGGAAATTCCAAAATCTGTTAACTTGATATGGCCATCCTCGCAGATGAGAACGTTCTCTGGCTTGAGGTCTCTGTAGATGATATGATCTTTATGCAGCTGCTCAAGAGCGACCGCGAGTTCTGCGATGTAAAGTTTAATTTGGTCAACGGAGATCTCGTTGTTGTTATTTGTCAAGTGCATGAATAAGTCGCCACCAGAGACATATTCTAATACTAAGTAGAACTTGGATGGTGTTTGGAATGAAGATAAGAGTGAAACGATGAATGGGGATTTTGTGGATTTGAGGATGTCTCTTTCAACCATGATTGTGTCAACCTTCTTCATATCAAGAAGAACCTTCTTATGGATGGATTTGATGGCGCAGAACTTGCCTGTCTTCTTATGCTTTGCTAAGACAACTTTGCCATAGAATCCGCGGCCAAGTACTGAAATGATTTCATATTCATTGATTTTCTCTGTGTTTTCTGGAATTGAAAGTAAAAGTATGTGATTGAGCCAAGCATGGAATTCTTTTTCGTCCTTTGCTTGGAATGCAAAGTCCTTACCTTCTGGTTGAGTAATTTTGAATCTTAAGCCCTTCTTTGACTCCATAAGGGCAACTTGGGACTTTGGAGTGATAGAAAACCAATTTGTCATCTTTTGGCGTTGCTGATCAAGATAAATATAGAAGCAATTCGATTCGATAACGCAATAACGCTTGTGCCAGAAGTGTGGTATTCCAGAACGCTTAACAAGCCAACCTTCCATTATGAATTTTGATAAAAATTTTTGCGAAATCAATTTCATTGAATATTGATCGTGATAAATCACAGAAATTTTTCAATAGTCAATGCGATCATAATCAATTCGGTGAGAAATTTTGGATTACAAATACATCCTTGTAAGTGTTTATTCAAATAAAATCAAGAGAGATATTTTGAAAGATATCGTGGTCATTTGGATCATGATTAGCGGATTTCTATTCAATTTCATTTCCTTCAAAAAGCTGAGAATATGTTCAAGATATGATAAACAATTATATTTAAAATCTGAGGATATGTTGTGAAGTGAGAATTTTATATGACTTGAATTTTTTCAATTGGATAATGATGTGAGTTTATTCATTTAATAAGTCAAACAATAGATATCTATGATTATAGCATTTGGTTAAAATTTTTGTTGATTTTGCACGTTTTAAAATTTTATATGTCCTTCTAATTTTAACAATTAGGTCAAATTTATCAAAATAATATTTTTCAGTTCAATCAATCCGTAATTTACTTTTGATAACTTTACATTATTATGGGCACTCTCAAATTCAAAATTTATGATTTTTCGTTGAGAAATATATATGTTAATCTCTATTGTAGCAAATAAATTATAAAATATAAGTTTATAAATGGACAATTGAATCAAAATGACAATTCGGAATATCATAAATATAAAATTTAAGATTAATATTGCATGCTATTGTTGGTTTATTACCACGAATTGTAAAATAAATGATTTTGAAAAATATCAACCAGCAATCTGTCTTTTATGAAAATTGCTTATGTTAGAAAAATTACTTATAGTCAACTAACTTAATATCATTCAACGAAACCTTAATAAACAGAACATTTAATATAAATCAAATTAAAAATCGCGAATGCCAATGGTATAAGCAGGACCTCCAAGGGTTGAACCTAAATCTCTATATGGTACAGCTGTATCTGGGATATCTCTTGAGTCATAGCTCCTATTTTTGATCTTTGATCCTTTGCGACTGCTTGCTAAGTCTTTTCCATCTTTGATATTATAGTCTGCAGGACCTGGTAAACTACTTATTTCACGGTAATTAATGATATCTCTGTTATATGGACCATCAAGAGGTGAAACAACATCTTCACTCTCATCGACAGGCATATCGGATCTGAAGTAAGCATCTGGGCTTGGATTTTCTGCTCTTGGATCTTTAAATTCATATTTCTGTCCAATACTAATTTTTCTGGGTGAAATTGAAGATGGAATATCATAACATGGACCTGGTGATGGTGTTTCGTAATTAACTTCTGGTCTATGGGCCATAGACTTTGGTCTTGGCTTAATTGTTGTTCCTATATCATAATAAGGTGCATTAGTTGTATGGGATTTAGATTCTTTTGGACGAATATGCATTGTAGTCCTGATTCTAGAGAGGTTTTTACCTGAAAATCCGAACTCAGATGGAATATCATAGTCACCTGGTCCAGGACTCTGAGGAATTGGAAAATCTCGTGGGGCTTTTGAAAAAGAAGATTTCCTTGCATCTGATCCAATCGGTCTTTCAACATTATAGATAGGGCCAGGATGCTGTTTCTTCTGAAATTTAGTTCTCCTTGTTTGTTTCCTATTTGTTTGCTGTGTTGCTGGGCGTGCTTTAATTGTTGACGGGATATCATAAGTTCCAGGAGGAACAATCATATTACCATCCGATATATCATATCTTTTTCCAACTCCAATTGGATATGCTGGAGATTTATCAATGATTTTAGGATCATATGATCCTGGACCAGGCGTATGATCGTGTTTTTCTTTATGTTTTTCATGTATCGCGATTTTTGGACCTTGGCCAATTGTTGAAGGTAAGTTTACGAGTTGTGGCGAAGAATTATCATAAGCACCAAGTGATCTTGAAAAGCCAACTGTGTCTTTACTTTGTAACCTAACACCTTTACTTGATAATGTTGATGGCAGTTGGTTGTATTTTGGCGAGTATTGTGGTTTTGGTTCTTCATGTCTAGATTTCATTGAATACTTAGGACCTGAACCTATTGTTGATGGAATATTATATAGTCCAGGCTCGGTATGAACAACCTCTTTTCGACCTCTGCAGAAATCGCAGAAAGTCATTTTTAAAATTTAACGTACATTTGATTGAGAGCTATGAAAACATTAAAATAATGTAGTACTCTAATTAATTGTTTGATTGTGTTGAGAAATGATGCTCAAAAAAATTTACAATTATAAAAGTGCCATTTTGAACATAAGACTTGTTTTTCATGTGTTGTACCCACTATTATAGCATACCTCTTTATAGGACAAATTTCTGGGAGAACACCTATAAGGAATTTTATATTATTACCACTATATTGGACTTTTTAATATTGATTTTGTATGGATAATCGAAAATAGTTTAGCTTTGTCAAAGTTTATGGTATCAAATCTCTTATTTTAGAGTAGTTTTATACGAAAACTCTATCAGCATCAAATATTTCTTGAAAAATAACTTTATGTCTTTTAACTATAAATTGTGATATGAATCATTATATAACTTTGAGTGTATATAGAACTCTATACTAAATATGATTCTATTGGTATCAAAGCAAGAAATTATTTTATATTTAAACTTGTATGCTGAGGATAGTTATGTGCTAATCATTTCTGATGCGAAAATCATGAACGAGAGATTATTGAGCAGTCTTTTTCAAATTCCAAAAAAAAATCATTTGAATTAATTGCTCCGTTCTCTATCATAATCATTCCATCATGTTTTATCTGGCATTTAAAGGTTAGGTTGTGCTTGTCGTTTTATTTTTTCATATATTGTTTTTATGATTGCAGATTATGTTGATACTCATATCTTCGAAAACCAAGAAGATATAATATCAGCAATGATTGAATCATTATGTGAATCGATTAATGAGAATAAATTTTACGAAAGACTAGAAAAACAAGAAGATCGAGATTTCATAATTCCATTCCTCTTGATAGCACCAGATTTTCCAAATCAATGCATTGACTTTTTTACGGTAATAACAAAGTTATTTATAACAACCCCAAACGTGCATAAATTACAAAAAATTGAATATAATAATTTATTACAAAAGACATTGACATCAATACAACCACTCTTATGTTCAAAAGCCGATCCCAAGAATCGATCAGAATCATTACATTTCATAAAACAAATCATTTCGAAACCTGAAATCGAATATCTTGATTTCATAGAAGAAGATACTTGGATCATACTTTTATCTACTATAATTAGCTCATTGGATGATTTTATATCAATGAGTTCTGATCAAAAGTTTGAACTTGTTGTTTCATGTATTTTATTAGGCAGAATATCAGAAAAGCGAGCCCAAAAAGTCATTTCAAACTTTATACAGATCTTTATAAAGTTCCCACTTCAAGAATATTATATCATGAACTATTATAATCAAGTTATCACAAGATTCTTTACCTATCCAACAAAAGATTCATCGAAATATGATATCCAATCCCACAAATACTCGATATTTTTAATAGCAGAAATGAACAGAGTCTGCAGAGAAGAAGATAAATCGAAATGTTTTCCAATTCTCTTATCAATTGAAAACAAATTCAATATCAATGATCATCCCTTCCTCATTTCTCTCTTCCCGATATCGTCAATTATCAGAATTTTCGCTGATTGCATTTTTACGAATATATCTGTTGCTACATTCATTATTTGTCACTTAAATATGCTTACACATTCAGATTTGGCTCATGACTCTCCATGGAACAACTTATTTGTTCAATATATCAGCAGTTATATTCAACATAAGGAAATTTCAACGGATGAAATGCTCGCTCTTTCATCCCTTGCAGCTACAAACCCTTTATTTGTCAGACAGTTTTACACGACCATCATAAAATCGTATAAAAACGCAAGCCAAGCGTTTTTACATTATCAAACGACATTATTAGCTAATATTTCTCAAATTTGCTCGTCAATACCTGATATTGAGTCAGGAGATGACGCCTGCAAGTACATGACGTTCATAGATTACTCAAAAATCGAAAAAGCAGAATATCGGATCTCATTTTTCTTCGACCAAGTATCAGTTAAGAACTTAGATTTGCTCTCCTATATCATACAACCCGATTTTGCGTATTTCGAGAACAAGTGTATCGGTTCTTTATTATTATTAATCGCATTAGTCCCCAGTTTCACAAGGGACAACAGTTTTGGCGTTGAAAAAATCTTGTTCGGAATATTAAAGTTACTTGAGAATACAGAATGTGAAGAAATCTTGTCACAAATTGCAATTGCTGCAATATCCTTACGAAATTTCACGAATTTGTTCCAAATGTGCCCAACAATTGTCTCAATGCTATACAGGCTTGCCGATAAATACAAATCCAAGCTCTTGCATTGGGCAGCAAAAGCTTGTTGTGGCATTATTTGTTCCCCTGATTTTGCTGAAAAAGTTTCTCATAATGGAACACCAAGAACTTTTGTTATGAACAACAAGATCCTTATGTTTATCGAATCTGAGAATGAATCCAATCCTTTGGAGCTTCTTGTTCGAAAAACAACTGGTATTTTCTACTATCAAATTAAAGATGAACAGATCTCTCAAGAAGTTAACCCTGCAAAGGTCAAAAAGGATATTATATCATATGAAGATATTATTAAAGATGTCGAAGGACCATTCGAACACGCGGAAAAAAGAGAATATAGAAAACCGAAAAATCGGACAACAAAATTCTTTTTGTCAATGGGAATTTTACCTGTTCCGACTGAGTCAAGCTTTGATACATCTAAATTTGATAGTTTTTGCAAACTTCCGGAATTTTATGTAAAATTAATTTGCATCAACATGAATTCCACCGATTATAGTGGAAAGAATCCTGGACTTAGGTATGAGAGATTCACGGAAGACCTTGGAGAGTCAGTTACCTCTCAATTATGTAAAATTAACTTCAATGAAAAAGTTAATTCACCTTTTGTCATCATATTCAATGAAACAAAGATGAGATTTAATAAGAATATTGATGATATCAAGGCTTCCATTGTTTTATATATATCTATGAACGATTCTTTGAAAGATGATCAAGAATTAACTTATCACATTAAACCATTAAGACTCCCGAGATCAAATATCATCTTTCCATTTTCAGAAGAGTCCGATCATGTTTGTTGTGCAAGGAATTTACAGAAATTTGTATTTTCATTTGTTTTCTTCTTCTTAGGAAGCAAATTGACAGAAGATACTTCTCTTCCAGAGTTATTGGTTCCATTTATCAATAGCTGCGAAGAAAGACATAAAATTGTTACAAATGCGAAATAAAATTATTGTTTATGATTAGTAATTCTGTGTAATTTTATCTTTTATGGATATCAATCCTGATTTCGCCTAGATTTATTGACAAGAAAAATAAATTTCGGTTTGAATTTCTTTTCAAAAAGGAAAGAACATGAAAGTATGAGCGTGCTTTTTGAGTCTGCTTTGAATGCATTAAATTAGCAGAATTTTTGATTAATTTGAATATAAAGTAATCCAATCTTTTATATTCTAATGCTTTGAGTGAAAATTTTATTTCATCTCCTAAAGTTAATATGTTTTGCCCATTTAAAATCTTAATATAACGCATAAAAATTCGGCAAATTTTTCATTTTTATAAAAAATGAAATAAAAAAAATTTTTTTAATATATTGACAATGACAATTGGTCTTTATCGAGAGAGATTTTTCATTTGATGACTCATCATATGCTAGAGGAATTGTACTGGAATCTATATTCAACAAAAAATTCATTCAAATTTAGAATCGGAAAACTCAGAATTGAATTCTGGAATCAAAAATCGCTTAAATGATAATAGCATACTAAAGCAATTAATAAGGCTAGCTTACATCCATTTTTCAGGTGGCAGCACTTTTACAAAATAAGAATTTTTTTCAATGGATTTGATCCTTTCGGAGCTCCACAGATTAGATCAATCCACTGTGGTTGTTCAGCCAGAGCAAGCAATTTTTAGAACTTTGCATCCTCTGACAATTTCTCTCTTCTATTCTGCACCAGAAGACTACTTGAGAGAGTTGGAAAAATCATTATTCAAAATTCTTGAAATCAATCAAGGAGTATTATCCACACAGTGTGTCATCCTGATTGGCCGCAAATTAAGGGAAATCTACAAGCGAAATATTCCTTTTAATGCTGACCAATTCGTCAGTAATTTAAACAGCAAGCCAACTCAGTCTAAAATCATCTTGTTTGGCGCACTCTGCGGCACACAAGGCCTAATGCCGACCCATTATCAAAATGTAATGCCTACTCTTTTCAAAGTTAACGAGAAGCTGTATATTCCTGCGTTATACTGCTTAAGACATATCTTTAAGACCCTAAAGAACACAGCAGGAAAGCTTGATTCCCAAGCCATTTCATTCGTCAATAAAATTTCAAGCAAACCGATCGAACAATCCCAAGTTGCATGTATCAAACTTCTTAGAGTTCTTTCTGTCTACAGAAATAACGATGTTTCGAACATTTTTGCCATTTATGATAATATTTTACAAAGTTCTTCATCAGAAATCATCAATGACGAGATATACAAGTCAGTTGCAAAGTATGCAGCAACATTCATTACACCATCAACATCGAATCTCGACAAACTTCAAGAAGTTTTCAACAGATACAACTTTTACACAACATTCAAGTATTTTTCTACTATTGTTGGTCCATCGACAATCTCTATGTACTCATCTCAACTCACACAACTTTATTTGAGCAAATATCCAAACGCAGTTTCTACAATCATCACATGTGTGCGAGAAGAAGACAAAGAAAATATTGTCAAGTCTATTGTCAACCACCGCGATCTTCCCGATGCATTACATTGTCTTAAAATTCTTCCACAAACAGAGAACATCATTCTTGAATCCGCTAATGTTGCTCTGTTACTTTACACATCAAACAATTCATACATCAAAGACATTGGTTCACAATTCTTTTCAAGTTTCATTTTTGAACATCGTGAAGCAGCATTTAAATTCATTGCATCTAAATTACAAACAATTTATGACCAAAAATTGAAATCTAATGATCTTGAATCCACCGCAACAGTCATCTCTCGACTTATTGCCGCATCACCAGACAAATATGATATTTTGAATTGTGTTAAAACAGTCTTTTGTTCTATTTTGAGTCGTGACATTGGTGAAACATATATTTGGCCACTTCTTTCGGTTTGTCCAAATGAATGGATGAACAGCGAACTTGTTGAATCTAAAATCAACCATTTCGAAGGTGATTACGAAGGTATTTTCCAATTTTTCATGTTTACATCTACAAAATCATCAAAAATCAAAGATTTAATTCTTAAATTCGTCGATCACTGTATTGAAAACATCACATCATCAATTGTTACATCATTTTCTGTTTTAATTCCAAGTGTTTTCGAAGGAACTAGTCAAATTCAAAAAATTATTAAAACTTTTGTTGAATTTCTTTTTGAACAAGAAGTTAATCAAGATTTAGTTCAAAACATCACAGAAACTAGTTTTCCATTTGAAGGTGACATTGTTAAGAAACGTCATCATATTCCAGAACATGTCTATGAATCGACAAAAATTATTATTAAATTGTCTAGTTTGATTTGTCATTTGATTAGTCTTTTAACAGACAAAGAACAAACTTCAATGATTGATTACATCATTAATCACAAGAAATCTATTTCAATGCAACGTGTTTTGTTGATTCAATTGATCAACAACGATAAAACACGTGATAAATTACCACGCGGCTTTTTAATTCCTCTTTTAAAGTCATTGAAAGGTACGGACAAGTTTTTTTTGTTGTTAACATGTGAAAGTATTTCACGATACATCCATTTCAATGATAGTTATTTGAAAGCCACAATTAATTTCATCGAAAACAACAAAAGTAATCCATCCAATTATTTGATTGGTAGTTTATCACATCACATTCACATCAGTAATGAATATTTAATCCGGTTAGTTATGTGCATCAACAAACGTATTTCCAGTATTAGTTTGCGATTGACATCATTTTATGCATTGAAATGCATCATTTGTACACACTCCATGGACATCAGTTCATTGTCATTAGGTCAACACCAACTTAGTTTGTTCATGGATTGTTTGAATGATTTCACATTACCTGAACCACTTTTAGTTCATCTTATTTCAGACACATTTATTTTGTTACTTCCCACATTGATTCCAGAATGTCTTGAACCTAATTCCCCACTTCGAAACCAAATCACATCAACCGTCCAGTCATTAAGTCTCACACCATATTTGACCGCTCGTGAAGATTTCTATTCTACTGTTCATTCTGTTCTTACATATTGTTTTCCACTTGTTTCAGAGATTGATTTAGACAGCTCTCGCTCTATTAACTCCGCATCTATTTCACTTCGCATTGAAGTTATGAAAGCATTCACAATTCTTTCTAAACAAGGCAGTTGTCCAAGTACTGTTCTTAGTTTAGTTATTGATTGTTGTTCTAAGATGATTCAACAAACGCATGAAAACATCGAATTCATTTCTACAGTTTCTAATGCAGTTGACTATGTTCATCAGAAGAACGAACTTTTCAGTATTGTTAATTTGATCAAATCTATCTTAGAAGAAAAATATATTCCTAGTTTGAATGGAGTTTTTCCATGCGAAAACTTAATCATCGAATGTTTGATTTCATCATCAATTATCTTCAGAAAACTTCTTCAAATTCGTCCACTTCCAGTTATCATGATCAATGATATCATTTCATCAGTTTGTCTTTCATTATTGACAAATAACCATCAGATTCATAAATATAGTTTTGATTCATTATCTACTATTTTAGAATTATCGAAACGAAATCATCAACTATATGATAATTACGAGAAACACTTTTTCACTGCTGCTAAAATCGGATTCACAAATCTCGACATATCAACAAAGTATCTTACCGAATTTGTTAATGATAAAGAAGAAGTTTTAGAATTATATACAAGTGAGATTGAAAAATTTTCAACTCATTTACCACAAAACATTTATTGTATTGTCTGTCGATATTTCATCAATATCATGAAATTACCAAAAACAGACAAATACGATCATCTTGTTAAAGTTATTTTACCACAGTTCTTAGATTTAATGAAAGAAATGATTCGATATAATTTCAATAATCAAGATCAAGAAAGTTATAATTATTTCCGAAATTACTTGTCTGTTTTTTATGAAGATTTTTCAAGTGTCATTAGTTGGATGACAACCATTGATTGCACACAAATCGAACGTAACGTTTTGTTATCATTTTATGTTTTTGAACTTCGTACATCAGAGGACATCTGGCAAATTAACGGCTGCATCAAAGGCATTACATCATTTGTCAAATACTCATCTAAAATCGATTTTGATTTTGAAATCCTTGAAGAAGGTCTTGAAAGTATTTTGAGTCATTTGCCTAATATTGGTGTTTCTATTGGTCAAAACACATCCGAACTTGTTTCAATTCTTTTTGAAAAGAACATTGAAATCACAACACGTATGAAAGAAATCATTTTTTCACTCTCATTAAACACACCATGTAATTCACACGTTTACATTCGATTGCTTGATGAACATACATCACATCATGTTGAATTAGTTGAAAGCTTTTTGATGTCTAACAACATTGATGATGAGGATAAAACACAATTATTTGTTTTGTATCTTGAAAAATGCAATCATCTTGATATCACACATTCCGCAATTTCATTCTGCAAGCAACAAAACAAAGTTAAACTAGGCTTGAAACTTTGTGAAATCTCATTGAATTACGATGATATTTCATATGTTAGTATTTCTGATTTCTTTTCAAGTCATGTTCGACAAGGTGTTATTGATATTTTATTGAAACTTGAAGATTCTGACAAATTGTCCAAATTATTATCTAACAATGTTGCAAACACTATCTTCGGCTTTTGTTTAGGCGACAATTCAAATTCAGAAAAGTTTGCACAAATCTTAGTTAAAAGTATCACATGTGTTGACAACTATTCATTTAAGTTTAGTGTTTTACGGTTGTGCTGTCACTGTTTGTCAACATGGGTTAATGACAAGAAGACTATGGAACTTTATGCATCATTATTTAAACAAACCAAAGAAAGTCTTGGTGACAAATTTAATGAATATTGGCAAGAACTTACACCCGAAGAACGCGAATTTTGCATCCGATCTCTCGAAATGATTTGATATCTTATTTTTTATTAATATTTTCTCTTTTGTAATTTATTTTAAATAAAACAATTTTATTTTTCAATTTGGGAAAGATACAAGACTTTTTTTCACAAACATTTCCTATTTATTTTTTACCCGCCCAAACAATATCTATCATCATGACTCATATTTGTTTGATGAAGAAAAAGAAAAAGAAGGAAATCTCGCAAATATTGAAAGACTGAAAGTGTTCCATTTCTCAGGACCTTCAGATGATATCTGGAATCAATTCTATAATCCTTCAAAATATGACATACTTGTTAACCAAAGTAGAAGCATCCCAGAAAATGGCAAAGTCTTTGTTGATTATGTTCATTTCGAAAACTTCAATCCAAATGGTGTTATTCGAATCACTCAACCAACTTCAGAAACAAAAGTTCTTGTTTCAACTTCTTCTTTTTTTAAATCCTCCTCTACAAGTAGTGGAGGATCCATATATCTTTCATCATCCGGATCATTTGTTCAATACAAAGTCTGCAGTTATGAATCTGAGATACCATTAAAAAATGCATATGGATCCCATTCATATATTTCAGTGACAGATGATGATAACCACAAAAATTTTGTTATTGAATCATCATTCACTCAAAATACAGGATATAGTGGTGTTTTGTATCATTATTATGGATCTCAACTATTTTCATCAATAAATATCACTGATTCAAATATAATAATTAATGCAGCATTTGTTAGTTATGAACCATTTTCTCTTTCAACAACAAATTTTAGTAATTTCGATAATCTTTCATCATCTACAGAGTGCAATTGTATTTTTTGGCCTAATTCTAAAACACAAAATTTCTATTTTTGTAATATTATTGACAACAAAGTTACAGATAATGGCGATGGAATTTTCTGGCTTTCTTCTGTTATACTTTCAGTCAATCAAAGTTTCTTCAAAGGAAACAAAGCTTCTAAATTATTTTATATTCGATCAGGATCAGGTACAGTCAATGAATGCCATTTTGAATCAGATAATACATTTCCAACAAATGAAAATTATATACATGGTTCAAAGTCAATGACCAAAATCATTCTTTCTAATTTATATTCTACTTATTTATGCGAAGTCGAAAATTTAAATAAAAAAGATTCTATTTTTATTCCAAAAATTCCTATTTCTAAACTGTCTTTCATATGTAAAGTCTCCTATTCAAATTTTTAAAAAGGGGTTTTATCAATATTGTGGGGGAGAGGACGATAAGGAAACCGACCAAATGAAAACACTCAATTTTTAGGCATGCCTCAGAAAAATATAAATAAAAATTATATGATATTATGCATTAGGATAGTATATAGATTAAAATAATAATGCTTTATTTTCCCTCTCAATTTTGTAACGTGCTCGAGGAAAATGGTATTACTGAATATAGAATCAGTAATAGGAATACAACAAAACAAATAATATTTTTTTTGGATAACAAAGCGTCAAAAGATTATTGAAAATCTGATAAATTGGTAATAAATCAGTGTTACAAGTAGAATAAATCCAACAAAGTGGATGTGATCTTGTAAGGTAACAATTTACATTAAATTCTCTCTTCTTGAGCATCTAATTTGGCAAGCTTTGAGAACAATGAGAAAATTCTTTGTAATAATGGGTATCTTTTCATCATGGAAGATCTGTGTTTTAAATCCTTATAATGACTTTTCTAAAAAGATAATTATTCGTTTTGAAATTCGTGAAATTTGGAATCAGTGAATGAAATCCAACCTCTTTATGAAGCACATCTATGCAAATTTTGATCTTATTTGATCAAAAATGCTTTATTATGGTTTTCTGTAAGAAGATCGAGTTGGTTCCCATTAGAAAGAAAAGTGACAAGAATGAAAAAATTCATATTTTCTTAATATTATTAGTGTATAAAGATCATTTTTATGTTCAATTTAAAATCCATTTTTATCTGAATTTTGGAGTTTTTGACAGATTTTGAAAATTGCATCAAGCAAATTAAAAATAATTTATGATTTTGATATACTGTTAATCCTTTTATAGAATAGTATTTCGTCTTACCAGCTTAAAAACACTAAAAACAATATAGTTGCATTTAATAGAAGTGCAAATTCTCAATGCATGTATATTTAATAATGTATTCTTAGTCATATTGCATCAAATTAATAAAAGTAACTAAGGGGATATGATTGCTTTAATATAACATAAACATTAAAATTATCAAATGAGATATATTCCGAAAATGAGCATAATCAACTTGTATTCAAACATACTAACAGAATATGTTCGTTTTATACTTCAAAAGTTTTTAATATTTGCTTATAAAATATGATATTTAAACTATTCCAAACAAAGTTGAATTAATCCAATTGAATTATCAGAACACTTATTTAAACTAGGCTAAGATTTATATTTTAATAACAGTTCTGAATAATTCAGATAATTAATACAATTTTTTGATAATCTTCATCAACAAATAAGTATTGTTCAAAATTTCGTGTGCAATTTATGAATACATAGGGTGATATAACGCGTTCTTGTATTGTTTTATGTTTTTGGAAAGATTGAATATATTTAATATTTTATCAACAATATATCTATGAACAAACTTTGAAAAAAGAAACTATTTATGATGCCTATTTATATGGTAGAAAATAAAAGTCTCGAGGTAGGCTACAGGCGAGAAGACTTTACGTATGAAAAGGAGTTTAATTTAATTTCTGAAGAACCATCATATCCTTCGAAATAAACCTTTTTATACATTATGTTTGTTTAAATTATGAGGTTTTAAGGGCTTTCAAACAAAAATATTGATAATATATTCTTTCCAATGAACGAAATCATTTCATAGCCCTGGTGAATCTGATTAGCGCTTGCTATTTGTCCCATTAAAGTACTCTGACTATCACATATATATGAATATGTAATCAATTTCAAGCTTGTCAATGTAACTAAACTTTGAAAAAAGTGACAAATTTTTGAAATTACGTTAGTAAAATGCAACCGAAAAGCGCGAGAGCTTACAGTCCTCATGAAAATAAAAAAAGGGTCTTGAACTTTACAGCTGTAACTCCGCGTATTTCTATACCAAAACCTCCACAAACAATTAGAATTAAGTACGTTACAAATTTTAATTCAACAGAGAAAGGAAGTTTTGGTGATGATGCACCAAAATTCACAATAGGAGTGCGTAAAAATGATTATAAAGATCCTTATGCTATTCCAGGTCCGTCAGATTACACAATGCCCAATTTGGATGCAGGAAAGATACCATATAAAATACCTAGATCGCCGCGAAAAGATACAACAGAGAATTATACTGCAAATATAGACTTTATTATGCCACCTCCATTAAAATCAGTTGCTGTAAAGATTCCAAACTCACCAAGACAGCCTCTATATGAATTATCAGATGCACCAGGACCATGCAAATACAACATCCCATACGGATTAACTCCACGCGGTCATAAAATTTCAGTTGCAAAAACAAGAGACGTTTTCGAACCTGTTTTATCAAATTCACTTGGCCCTGGTTGTTACGATATTCATTATGATAATACTATTACTGGCGTAAGTGCCAAAATCTCTACAGATCCAAAAAGAGGAGATTGGATGATCGCATCGAAGAATCCTGGTCCAGGAGAATATACACCTGTTGATAAAGTCAAAGAACCTTCATATCTTATCGGAAAGAAGTCAAGACCTTCAAAACATCGTCAAGAAAATCAGCCAAACTCAAATCTTTATGCAATTGATGCATTTTACATCAATTTACCGAAAAGTATTGATCCAAAAGAAGTACTGATGTATTTAACAGAAGAACCAGCAGTTCGTGAATTTATTCATGAAATTGGCGAAATAGTTTTTGATAGGAAACCAGATGATCCAATAGGATACATCAGAAACTATTATTCTCAATTCAAACCAAATCGTCAAGATATAAATAAGGTTAAAAAGAATCTTGAAATGTTTTAATGCGTAATTATAAAAACTTGTTGTTATTTTTTGTATATTAGTATGAAAAAAGGAGTAATTTTTGTTTTTTTGTATAAATTAGAGAATAAAAATGTGTTTCTGTTTAGAAGACACGGAATTGTCTCTTGTCAGCACCGACAGCAGCTGGCTTAACGTGGATAACGTTGAAGTGGACTGTCTTGGAGAGTGGGCGGCATTCAGCGACTGTGACAAGATCACCTTCCTTGACGAGGAAAGCTGGGGAAATGTGAGCTGGGATCTTTGTGTGGCGCTTCTCGAAACGCTTGTACTTGCGGATCCACTGAAGGTAATCGCGGCGGATGATGATTGTACGGCGCATCTTTGTAGAAACGACAACACCACGGAGGACACGGCCACGGATGGAGACTGTGCCTGTGAATGGGCACTTAGCATCGATGTATTCACGTTCTTCGGCTGTCTTTGGTGTTTCGATTTTGAGGCCGATGGACTTGACATAGCGCTGCTTCTTTTCAGCATTGGCATGCTTCTTGGAGGCGAGGAAGAGCTGTGGCTGCTTCTGGAAGGCACGCTCAGTCTGGACTGTAGACATTAGAGAGAAAGGCCATACAAACTTTACAATAATCGTTTCGATAAGAAAATGTTTCATTTTATAATACAAACAAGAATCATCATTACTTTTGTAGTTTGCTTTTAAACTCAAATTTCAAAAACATGCAAAATTCTTTTGAAAATTTGAAAATTTGTGAATAATTATCTGGATTTGCATATATTTTTCATTTAGTGTCATTATCTGTTTATATTTTCTTGATAACATTCCCATAAATATTACTTTAGTTGATTTTTATTTATTTGATAACTAATTGACTTATATACAAAAGTTTTGATTATGTATGAGACTAAGTATGAATGGTATGATTGATATCTTCAAAAATTTAAACAAACAAATTTTATTTTGCATTTCCACTAAGGATACTGGCTTCTCTGTGCGAACTTGCTGAATCTCTAACACTAGCTTCTCTTGCGGCACTTTGAGATTCACAATTTGATCCAACAGATTTTAGAGGATCGCCTCTGCTACTCATTGATGACACAAGCTTCGATCTAGATGTTGTCAGAAGCTGCACAATATCGTCAAAGCCATATCTCTTAGCAAAATCTAATGGTGTGAATACAAAATTATTTGCTCTGTTTGGATCAGCCCCTAAACGATAAAGCATCTCACATGCATCATAATGGCTACTTTTAGCTGCTAAATGGAGTGGTGTATAGCCTTCATAATCAACACAATTTGGATCTGTTCCTCCTTTGACAAGATGTTGTATAATATCAGCAAACCCTCTAATTGCGGCTCTATGTAAGGGGAAAAATGAGCATTCTTCCTGTATATTTGGATCAGCACCTGCACGAAGTAAAGCAACAACTATGGGAACTGAGCCCTGCCATGATGCTAGAAGTAATGGAGTACGATGATTTTTATCAATAATATTTGGTGATGCTCCATGCCGAATAAGATAAGCTGCACAATTAGTACTTCCAAAATGAGCGCAAACATGTAATAAAGTACCTCCTGAGTGTCTAAAACCAGAAATAAAACATTTTTTGATTGCTGAATCAGGTGGAACCTGATTAGGAATTAATGTTCGCAACTCTTCAATTTGATCCGTTGCACATGCATTTGCTGCCTTTTGGATCAATTCCGGAGGAGGAGCTTGTGACATTTACTATTTTTATTATGAATTTATACAGTTTTAGTTAAATGAATTTGATATTTCCTCATTAAGCTTTCTAAAATAGATTTTTCAGAAATAACGAGATTATTGAAACTTGATCTGATCCTGATTTCATGGTTTAACATCATATTTAGATGTTAATTAGCTGTTCTATTGGTTTGCTTCAAGCAAATATTAAAAATATTTGTATCGGTTAGCCTTAAATGACACTTTTATCGCATCATTTTATATTAGAATGTTTCTGCTGGAATGAAGTATTATTTATAGATGATCTCGGCATCACTCGTTAACGAATCCGTTGTTGGAGCCAAATCAAATGTTAAATTCAACAAAACACATTATATTTTTGACTATCCATGCGATTCAAATTCAGAATGCACAGATTACAAATTAATCCTCGAACCAGGCGCATACAAGTTCGAACTATATGGTGCTTCAGGAGGCTCGAGAACTAATGAAGTTTCATCGTATCGATTTTCAGATAATAACTGTATTGAAGACGAGATTGTACAGAAGTATCGCGGAAACACGAAATGCATAAGAACAGCAAGCGTTGGTGGTGCTGGTGGTTACATTTCCCACACAATTCAATTAATGAATCAAACAGTCACTTTTTTGACACTTGGCGGCCGTGGAATCTACGGACATAAAATTATGGAATACGGCACACCTAATTGCTTTGTGAAACAAAACATGGTGAGCGGAGGCTACGGTGGAGGTGGGAGCTCATCGAATTTTTGTGGTACCGATGCTGATTCATCCGGTATTCTCTGCGGAACTGGATCTGGCGGTGGCCAAACTGCTGTCAAATTTTTAAACAATGACTATTGGCATCGCGTTCTTGTGAGTGGTGGAGGTGGAGGCTGTGATAACGGTCAAGGTACCTATGGAGAACTTGATGATGGTTCCGGAGGTGCTGGAAGAAACCTCACCGCTCAAAGTTGGTTTGCAAATGGAGTTTTGAAAAATGAATATTTTGCCGATTCTGAAAAAGGTTTTAGTTTCGGTGTTGGTGAAGCTGCGAGATATGGTACTTCGTCTAATGTTTTTGCTGTTCGAGAAGGCTTAATGTTTGATAATGCTGGTGCTGGCGGCGGCTGGTTTGGCGGTTTTTCCGCTCAATTAGGAAGCGCTGGTGCTGGCGTTGGAAGCTCATGGGCCTTGTCAAAAGATGCCATAATTCCCAAAGTGGCATTAACATCTACTGATGAATTATATAACAATAAAATCTCCAGATACTATGCATTTAACCTTACCTCTGGATATTTGTTTGAAGATGTTGTAAATGTTGCCGGAATTTGGAATGGAAACGGCAGAGTAGTGATCACCATTATTAAATCAAATTATTCAATAAGTTGTTTGTGCAAACTTGAAATTCAATCTCATTTTCTTTTCTTAATTTTTGCTGTAAGCTAAATTTCTTAATTTTAAATTTCATCAACACATATAGTAATTTATTATATTTCACAGCATAATAGTCTAATAAGTTTTAATTATGCTTAGAACCAAATGTAATTCTGGTATATTTAAGATAATTTCAAAATTTCGAAACAAACGAAATAGAACAAAGCAAAATTATCATTAAAATCAAATAAATTTCAAATTTATGTATGCTTATCAACATGAATAGTTATGATTAAAAAAAAATATTAAAAATCTTTTTTAAAAAATTGTTTTGAAACAACATTATCTTTAAAATATATATATAAAACTAAAAATATATTATTTCTTTGGTCGAAGCGACTTAGTAGTTGTCTTCTTCACCTCAGTTTTCACTCTTTGTACGAGAGTTGTTCTTGTTTTAGATTTAGTTGACTTTGTAGTAGTTGATGTTGCTGTCTTCTCTTCAACTACAACGATATCTTCTTCAGTTTTTGTTGGCTCATTTTGTTTGTCACTTTTTACTTCCTCGGTAACTTCCTCTTCTTCATTTGTTTGTTTTGGTGCCAATTCTTGGTCGATATTCTTAATAGCCAAATTAATTCTCATTTTGAGTCCATTGTCAAATGATTTCTTCATAGAAATGTTCTTTTCAGCAAGAGAAATTAATTCTAAATTCTGCTTAATCATCATTTGGAATTTGACCTTTCTTTCGAACTCTCCTGGATCAAATCCAAGAGTCATCATCGTTTCATCGGATTTTTCGGACTCTTTCTTCAATCTTCTGATTTCATTACGATTTGATCTCTTAAATGACTGGAAAATCCTCTTCTGATAGTCTCCTTCTTCTGAATCACCGCTAGAATACTCTTCTTTTGGTCTGTGTCTCTTGATTGTTCTTCTCTTCTTAGATCTTTGCCTCTTTTGGTCATTTCCGTCCTCTTCTTCGTTATCTGCAACTTCCTTTTCTTCTGTTTCATTGACTTCTTGGGTAGATTTCGGTTTTTTAGAGATAATTTCATCAGATTCGTCAGAAGATGAAGTCGAAAGTGCTTGTTGGATCAAGTTTGAGGTCTTTGACTTCGATTCCATTGGTTTCTGCTTGGATTTCTTTGACTTTTCCGCATCAGATTGATCTGATGAAGAAGATAAAGCAGATTTCTTTGGTTTCTCTTCTTCTAAGTCATCTTCATCATTATTATTAGCTGTAGATTTCTTCTTTTGTACGTTTTCTGCTTCAGAAGATTCTGATGAAGATAAATTAGACTTTTTAGCTGATTTCTCTTCTTCTAAGTCTTCCTCTTCATCATTATTAGCTGTGGATTTCTTCTTTTGTACCTTTTCTTCATCGGAAGATTCAGATGAAGATAATTTAGACTTTTTGGCTTGTTTTTCTTCTTGTAAATCTTCTTCCTCGTTGTTATTAGCTTCTTCATTCTTTTCGTTATCAATTTCTCCTTCTTTTTCGTTTGAATCAGAATTATCTTTTTTGTTTTCATCAGAAGATGACAACTTTGAAGACTTCTTCTGCTTCTTATCACTGTCATCATCAGAAGAAGACAATAAACTGTACCTTTGTTGGGCAGTTAATGTTGCTTCCTCTTCTTCTTCCGAAGAATCACTTTTCTCCTTGTTTTCGGTATTTTCGACGGTATCGTTTTGGTCGTTGTTCGATTTACCCCATCCGGAAAGGAATTTCTTAACTGTATTAACAACTTTTCCTGTAATGGACTCATCTTTGCTTTGCTCAACTGTATTTTCGTTTGATTCTGGTTGTTCAGTCTTTTCTTCTTCGTTTTCATTTTTATCTTTGTTATATTCGTTCAAAGGAACAGGAGGAATTCCATTTTCTGGTACTTCGCTATCGGATGATGACGATTTTGATGAAGTTGGAGGTCTCTTTGCGATGAGCTCGAGAGCTTGAGAAGAATTCGAGTTTTTGATGCTTGATTCATTAGGAGAATCAGGCTCTTTATTTTCTGTGGACTGTTTGGCAGCCTTAGGGCTTGGATTTGGCGTAGTTCGGATTTCATTATCGACAATTTCAATAGGATACTTTCTTCCACCATTAGAAATATCAGAATCGCTATCGCTATCCTTTTTATCCGGACTGCTTTCGGATTTCGTAGTTTTTTGTTCGTTTATTTTTATCGAATTTTGTTCTTGAGTTGATTTCTTGCTTTCTGATCCGGAACTTGATTTTTCTTGAACAGGGGCTTTATCTTTTTCATTTTTGTTTTCTTGTTGTTCATCATCAGATGAATCAAGTAAAATTTTCTTTGAATCAGATTTCTGTTGTGATGGTTTGATTGGAAGGTTGACTTCATCATCAGATGATGAATCTAAGAGCTTCTTCTTTGGTGGAATATCTTCTTTATCTGAAGACGAAAATAGAGTAGTTTTCTTTGGTAATCCGATTTCCTCATCTGATGAATCATCAAATGGTACATTATTATGCTTTGCAGGAAGAATATCGTCATCACTCGATGAATCAAGAATTTTCCTCTTTATTTGAGGTGTATTTTCATCATCCGAGCTGTCAAAAGCAGCAGCTTTATTGCCAGCTCCTGATTTGCTTGCCGTTTTCTTTTCATCATCTGATGAAAGAACTTGTGATGATCTTCTTGCTGGTAATTCATCACTATCTGAACTTAATATCGGAGCCTTCTTTCTTTGTGGAGGAAGCTCACCGGAATCAGAATCCGAAAAATCAGGACGTTTCCTTTCTTGAATTTGCTCATCATCAGAATCAAGTTGGGCAAGTTTCGGCTTTAATCTAACATCATCTTCATCTGAATCCGAGAATTTCTTACGCTTTGGAATAGTGATATCATCAGAATCACTAGAAAGAATTCTTTTCTTAGGTTTGAATTGTGCATTATCTTCTGAATCGCTACTATCCTCAAGTATTTGTTTACGACCTTTCTTCAAGATCTCTTCATCTGAGGAAGAAGTCATTACACTTTATATTTCTATTTCCCATTCAATCTTTATCGTATTTCTCTTCACTTTGAATATTTAAATTATCAATCCACAAAAATATGATTTCAGTTTTTTTTTTGAAAAGTTTCAGATATATTATGCTAACTAGTTTTTATTTGTCACTCATTCTTGAATGACTCAAAGTTTGTCAATTTTTGGCATAAAATTATGATCCACTGACTATCCCTATACTATAAAATCAATAGAATGATATTTATCTCGAATAATAATCTCCCTATCAAAAAAAAAGGTAGTGGGGCTTCCAGGGGCTGCGCCCCTTCTAGCCCTGAAGATGTTTAGTATAAATGAAGTTTATATTTGGAGGGCTTCCAGGGGCTGCGCCCCTTCTAGCCCATAAGAAATTTTGCCCAAGACCCAAGAGGAGGACCGAACCCCAGCCGGTGACACTTTTTGTGTCGCTTTTCACAAATTATATATGTTTTCATGTTTTGTCACTTTTCTGTCACTTTTCAGGTAAAAACATTTTTATTATTATATATAAATGAATTTTACAAAACCACCGTTACCGTTCTTTGGAAATAAGAGTAGATGTAAAGATATTATATTGAGAGAACTTAAGAAACTACCGAATGGTCTAACATTTGTAGATTTGTTCGGTGGAAGTTTCTATATATCCCATTTATGTCATACCGTATTTCCTGACTCAAAGATTATATGCAATGACTTCGACAACTATATGGACCGTCTCAAACATATTCCAGACACAAACAATATATTGAAAGAGTTAAAAGAAAAGATACCTATAGGTAAGATGGAACGTATACCATTAGATAAGAAAAATATTGTGAGAGAGGTTTTGAAAAAGCAGAATATATATACTGGAATAGTATATCTGCTAGACTATTATATAGTGGTGCTATAAGAGTTCATGACATTGAAACACTTATGTCAAAAGTTTTATATCTTAACTATACAAATGTTTTCAAAGAGGACATAGAAAAATATATTGAGGGTATAGAGTTTGTGAGATGTCATTGGACAGAGTTGTATGAAAAATATAAAGACAAGGAAAATGTTTTCTTTATAGTGGACCCGCCGTTCTATAACACATGGGATTTTCAATACCAAGTAGACTGGACTTTGAGAGACTCTTTAGAAACTTTAGACGTTATACATAACCATCCATGCTTTTACTTTACATCCGATAAAAGTGGTTTGGAAACCGTTATGAGATGGTTAGAGGACATACATGACTATGAGTTTAGATATGACAAGAGAATATGAGAGAGGTCCTATAAACTGGAGAAAGTGTCACAATAAAGAAATTTTATTAGTAAGTAAATGTGGTTTGAAATAGGACTACTTGTTTTAGGTTTTTTCCATTGTGTCATTTATTTATTTGACGTGGCAGAAAAGTACAGAGAAATGAAGATGAACCAATGCCTGCAAATGTTCAGTATATGTACTCGTAAGAGATATTTTTATCTAATATTAAATGGACGCACAGAATTAGCGAATGCACAGCAGCAACCTGGACAACCAAACCCAGAGAATATTCCAAATGAAGTTAGAATACAAACTGCAATGGCAAACTATGGTCAAGTGCCAACAGATGTACAAAATGCAAACTGCCATGTCAAATGACGCTGCGTTAGGTTTGCCACCATGGTATGCAAATATGAGATGGAAAGAGTTTTATACAAACCCTGAAGTGGGATATAAACAACTTTATGCAGATGACGCGAACACAGGAGTTGACCCAGAATATGTTTTCTACCAGAGGAGAAACAGAATGTATGAGCTCCAGTTAAAGAATGCTATGGAACTCAACAGGAAACGTAAGAGACTAGGCGGACATTAGATTTTTACATATAGTAAAATGGGTTTCTTCAGTAAGATAGGAAACTTCTTCAGAAGAGTTGGAAGAGGTATATGGAATGGAATAAAATCTGTCGGAAAAGGAATTTGGAACGGAGTCAAAAATATTGGTAAAAGAGTAGGTCAGTTTGTTGGTATTATACCTAAAGACCCTGAACCAGAAGAACAAGCTCCTGTTATACAACAGCCTGAACCTGCACCACAGTCTAGTTGGCAACCAAATCCAACACCTCAACCGTATTAAAAAGTTATATTTTTATCGTTCGATAGTAGTTGTATATGAAACTAAGTTCTAAGTAAAACGCATGGTATAATGGAATTATTCTTTTTCTTCCATCTGTAGTAAACCATACTTGAAAGTCTGAAATACTTCCACTCGGTGGTTCGTATAACTTTGTAGGTTTTTCGTAAAAGTCATTTGCCAAGCATAAGAAAGAGTTTTGGGCGCCAGAAAATGAAGCATGAACAATAATAGCATCTTGGTCGAAAACATTTTCATATGTTCCATTAGGGTTTTCGACTTCATAAAAGTCTGGGTGTACTGGATATGCTGCAGGCTGATTTAACATCCTCATAAATCTATACCATGCCAAGTTGTTATATTTTGTAGAAATATAAACGTTTTCTCCAAGGTCTTCTATTTTATTGATTTTAACAGTTGCATTTTTCCTGTCATAAATAATATCGAGATGGTATTCTCCTTCGTCAATGTTATACTGGTTTGCATATTCGATATAGATATCGTTTATTTTTTCTTGAAAAGCTTGAAGAGTTGTTTCTAAGTTTACAAGCAAACTAACTTGTAAAAGTTTTCCCTGTTCAAATTTCTCATACATACGTTTTTCTTTGTTATAGTATCGAACTTCAAAACCGACCGTAAATGGGAAACCATGTATGGCTTCTGAAATGAACTTCATTCTACGAAAGCCAATAGCTTTTGTGACAGATGGGTCTCTTAGCCATCTTAATGGGTAGTCAAAACGATAGCCTTCATGCTTTATAGTATCTAAGTCAAACTTTTGACCGACATTAGTAAAAAGTTCATCTAATGGTTTAGTTGTAGCAACTCTTGAATTTTCTTTTTCTATTGAAAGCATATTTTATCTAGAATAAAAATGTCAAATGAAACAGCGTCTATGAGAGAAATACAACACAACCGACAACTCATTATGCAAGCTCTAAATAAGAACACAACAAACTTTTCAAACTATTCTAAGATATCTGAGTCATTGAAAGAAGGAAACTTAAAACTGACCTTAAACCCAATGACAGATGAGTTTCTGTTTCAAGACAATAAGAACCATACTGTCTGTATAAATCCAACAAAAGGAACTTTAAACGAGAAACCTATAAATGAACTTCTTTTGAAAGCAGATGTTGACAACAAAGCTGACAAAGAATATGTAGACGATGCAATAGCAAAAGAAGCAGAAAGAGCTAACAATGCTTATGCAACAAAAGAACATACTCATCCTGAACTAGCAGACAAAACATATGTTGACAATAAAATGTCAAGTGAAGTGACAAGAGCTGAAAACGAATATTCTAAAAAGACTCATATACATTATATTAACCAAATACCAAGTCTTAAGGAAACATTAGAGACAAAAGCAGATAAGACTCATACACATTCTATATCTGATATTACAAACTTACAAGAAACCTTAAACAGGAAAAGTGACGTTGGACATACACATACCATTGCAAATATTACAAACTTACAAGAAACCTTAAACAGGAAAAGTGCCGTTGGACATACACATACATCTTCTGAAATAACAGACTTAAACGTTAGCCTTGAAAATAAAGCAGATAAAACATATGTCAATGAAATATACCAAAGTTTGATAGGAACAACAAAAAATATTGAAACTATTGTTGGGGATGTTTCTATCTATGAAGAAAACAAATATTTTAGATGGGAGTTTGTACACTCCTTAAAAAATGGTATACGGTATAAACTCATTCCGAAAAATAACAATGAAATGTATGTAGGCTATATAAAGAATAATGGTACACAAGTTAAAGTTCCATTAGACAACAACTGCTACTTAAACTTATATGGAGACGAACAAAAGAAATATTTAAGAGTTTATGAAATGGCAGGTATGACGTTGGCTGACCCAGCTCCAGCACCATATTATTATGACTATGGAGATGACGACAGAACACCACATGTAGATGAACAAAAGCTAACGTTATATTTAGATTATTATAGATATAAAAGATATAATGCAATAGAAAAAACGAGAATAGTATATTATTATACAGATGACAGAAATAAATATTATAGTCAAGACTTTACCTACCCTGAAAACATAAGATTATATTATAAAAAATATTCTGACACAAACCAGAAGAAACCTGAAATAGTTGCACTATATTTTAAGTTCAAAAGAGACAATCCTATAATATCTCATATGTTTGATTTAATGAACCCAGTAGGTTCTATTTATACATCTATGGAAGCAAGAGGTCCTCAAGTAATGTTTGGTGTTGGTGCATGGGAACAAATAGTCGACAGGTTTTTGTATTGTGCAAACTCTTCAAAGGAAACAGGTGGAAGTAAAACGATTTCGGGTGAAAATTTACCTGCACACAGTCACTACATAGATTTAAGCACATCTCAAGCAGGTTGGCATAAGCATAGATATTGGGATTGGTCAGGAATGACAAAAGGTAAAGGATATGATGTTAAAGACGATGTTAAGTTTGCCATAAATTGTTACTGGGATGACACTCAGGGAGAAGGAAACCATACACATTTCGTTTCAGGATATACACAAACAACGGGACAAAGTAAAGAATACATGCCACCTTACATGACAGTTTACGCATGGTATAGAATTGCTTAGTCGTCATTTTCAACTTCTTTAGCATATTCGTCAGGAGTTGTCTTATATTTGTTAGGAACTGTCTTTGAAAGTATACCACCTTGAACTTTGACAAGTTTGAAACGAGGTCTGGCAATAGTAGTTTTATCTTCTGCTTGCAGTGTGTACATTTTGCCATGTTTGCCTAAAACTTCATAATATTCTCTTGTATACTTTCTTCTATTTTTACGAACACGAATGTGAGTACCTGTCGGGTTCCCATTGTTGTTATAGTCAATAGTATTTTCATATGGGTCGCGTTTA